CTGGGGATAATCGACCACTGCTGGCGTGTTGACCTTAACAGCCATTAGAACATTACTGCCTTAAGTACTGTTTATTTTAGTTTAATAGAAACTAGTGTTAAAGTTAAACCAGGTACCTAATGTGTTTTTTATCAAATCGACTAAAGGTATTCATGTTGTGAAAATATACAAGTATTGTTGCAAACATAAATAAATGTTAAGCAATGTGAAATGCATTAAATTCTGGCGTTTGAACTTTAAGACTCGATTCTACAGCTCTTTTGCGTCAGCAGGGATAAGGTTATAGCGAATGTTGAAATGTCAGACAACAAAGTATCGTTATTCAATATTTTTAGTCAGTGACGGCCCATTAGTTGGGACGGCAGACTTTCCAACATTAAGGCCGCCGTTCGTGTCCTTGTAATGTGCACCAATAATTTATAATACATTTTCCATTTAAATCTGCATTGAGTTTTTCCATCTCACATAAATAAGGGTGACATTTTTTTATTTAATGGAAAAGCGACATGGCTAACAGTAAATAAAGAGTAAAGTAAACGATATATATGTCCCACTGCTGGGCTAAGGTAGACCTTACGGTGGAGGCTCCGTAGAAAGGGAGAGCATAGCGCGACCCCATCGCGTTTAGGCAGACTTACATACCTTCGAAATGTCTTTTTTTTTCTTATTATTATTTCGAAAATATGTAGGATTCCTCGCGATGTTTTCCTTCACCTCAGAGCGCGTGATAAGTTTGCACTTAAAAATGCAACTATCAATTTCATTTATCCTAGCACCGGGAATTGAACTCGGCATGTTGTGATAGCTGTGTCCGGTCGTTCGCCTTTTTTAGACACAGAAAATAAAAACGACAAAACTTAGCTTAACTTCGCGTACAAAGATATTGCCTTATAGCCTTATTTTATAGGGCTTTATACATTGCTGCCATAAGTTCGCGTGACCAGTATCACTTTACCAGAGCGAACCGGTTTAAACCGGTTGTAAGCTGTGGTGATATTGGTGCAGGTGACGTCACATCCATTGTGGCGAGAGCCCCTGCTCAATGAGAGCTTGTATTTGTATTTGGAAGGGGTTGGGTAGAAAGTCTCAAGGAACACTACGACCTGGTCTATAGTAGTCTTCCCTTCGAAAACACTGCCCCTTACTGTAGGATAACATTATTCAGTGCGGTACGGAAGTTTACCGAAACAATTACCTATGGGACACACAAATAGTTTTCTCATGTGAAATCGAACCCACGGACCCCGAAGCCAATACCTTGGCATCCACGCCACGGTGTCATCTAAGAGACGGAGATGTCCAGAGCGGAGGAGACAAGAGAAGATTGACATAAGCAACGCATACCATTTGTCTTCTTTTAACATGAGATTCGTCTCGTGGTTCTCTTTAACGCCAGTAATATTTTAGTAATTGTCTGTTAAACGGCAATGGATTTTAGGCAAGGATGTGAACGGTCTAAGATTATCTAGAGCGATTCTGATGAGCATTTTTAACGCCCCACTTGTGCCTGTTCGTGCTTTTCCTAAATATGTCATTCAAAAACGGTCCACGATTATTATTATCCGATAAAACATTTTTTTTCAAACCTATCAATGTTTTTAGGGTTCCGTACTCATAGGGTAAAACAGGACCCTATTACTAAGACTTCGCTGTCTGTCTTTCCATCTATCACCAGGCTGTCACATGAACCGAGATAGATAGATAGTTGAAAATTTCACAGATGATGTATTTCTGTTGCCGCTATAAGAACAAATACTAAAAAATAGAATAAAAAAATATTTAAGTGGGGCTCCCATACAACAGACATGATTTTTTTGCCGTTTTTATAATGGCACGGGACCCTTCGTGCGCGAGGACTACTCGCACTTGGCGGGTTTTTTGCTTTTAATACACGTCGGCCGCAGTTTATGGGGCAGTACATTTGTAATTTATTACAAATGTTTGTACATATGTACAACAGATATTACAAACAACTGAGGGCTCGGTTTCGTTTATGTTTTATTGCTTAGTATTATAGAGTATAGCTAACAATTTTTTCTTAATGTATACCGGTAAGTTACATTTAAAAATACTAGTGATGTACCATTAGTAAAAATTCGACAATGGTTTTTATTAAATGATCCCTAACTTTTTTATGATAACACAAATAATAGCCAATAGCTAATAAATAAAACAGCTGTTGTCTTCGTCTATTTATTATTACTATACATATCAGAAAGACGAAAATATAATAGAACATCGTGCTAAAAAGTGATACGAAAGTAACTAGAATATCTGCGATAAAACCTAGTAGAATTTCTCTTAACGTCAATGGGTTGACGAGGGTATTTCCGAAAAAATGCCAGCATAGCGTAACATACCGCCCGAAAGTTGAATATTGATAAAAAATCTAATTTTGGTAGAGCCACGCAGCAGCCTCGGCTGTTGCACAAATGGGCAGGTCCGTCCGGGTTAGTACCACGACCGTGCAAAAGACCGTGAGTGAGGTAGCCAGGGCCCACTTTATTTAAAGGTGGAAACGCATTTGCAACCCTACGGGTGTTGGAAATGTCCATGGGCGACGGTTATCACTCTACATCAGGTGAACCGCCAGTTCACTTGCCACCTTCTCACATAAAAACTAAAACTATAAAAGAGAAAATAAAAACATGTTTAATTAGTGAACCAAAGTCTCCAGTATGATGAATCCTTACGTTTACGACGTTGCCGAACTGAACCTTATCTTTTACGGCAGAAAATTTGTAAAGTACAAATTGAATATGCATCGTTGTCAAATTTCATCTAAAGATTTGTTTACATAGATACTATTTATCAAAATTTTATTGCTTACATTTTTTTTGTATGAAAAATGAACATAAAAAAAATATTCAACAAATATCTATGTCATTGGGGCCTAATACAGGGTTTAATGTTAAATTAAACAATATCCTCCTGTGTTGTGTATACTATTAGAATTACGAACGAAGACCACGTTTGTAATGTATACTTAAGGAGTCGATTCACCAGGCAGAAATTTTTTACCGTCATCCATAGACTACACCTGATGCCTCCATAGCGCAGTCACCAAGGTATTGGCTTCGGCGCCGGGGGTCGTGGGTTTAAATCTAATCCCCACAAGTATATGTTTTTTTATGTGAGAATATAGCAAACGAGCTGGCGGTTCACCTGATCTTTAGTGATAACCGCCGCCCATGAACGTTTGCAACACCCATAGGATTGCAGACGCTGTGCGACCTTTTCATTAAGTGGGCCCCGGCTACCTCACTCACCAGACGAAAAACAGAAGTGTAGCACTTCTACTTTACGCCGATCTTCGATGAGGTCGTGTTACTTACCCGGACAGACCTGCCCATTCGTGCAACAGTGAACACTGTTGCGTTGTCTTACCACAGTTGTGTGTGTGAGCCACAGATAATCATTTCGGATCTGGACATTAGTCCACGTGAAATTTATGTATGCAAAAGGTCCACAGCTGTCACACAACACAGTATAATGTAATCCTACAGTAAGTGGGCAATGTTTTCGAAGGCTACAATAGATCTTCCAGGTCACAGTGGTCGTTGGGACCTACTACCAAACCCCTTCCACACAAAATACAAATGGACTCATTTGCTTGCGAGACCAGAGAAGCCACAGATCGCGTATAGCAGGGGTTTTAAATCCGTTAGGCTTCTCCTTCCCTTTAGGCCCGGCTCATCGCTCAACAGAATAAGTTTTTTATTATTTATTTTATTTTGTAACCTTACATTTAGCATTACTGGAAAAAAACCTAATTCGCTTGGACTAGCAATCAATTTACCTTAATCTAATTAATATATATGTATTTTCTTTAAGCTAAATTACACCTAATATCGGAACAGATAGTCCAAATTGCAACTCTTGTGAATTCACTCAGAGCACAAAAAAACAGGTCAGTTTTCTCCGCTGTGACGATAAGGGTGCGAAGTTGGGAGCCCCTGTCACAGTATGTCGAACAATACTTCAGTACCACGTAGTCAAAACTAAAATAACGTCCAATTGAATGAAAACAATGACAGCTTCAGACACCGTGAGTCGTGACCGTATCCCGTCTAAGGATAAGCGACGGACACTGTTATTGTTTCGCAGCATCTCGTGACCAGCAACCATCTTCGCGAGTGTGGTGAATAGGAATAACAAAATGTTGAATACATTGATACTTCTGTATACGTGTATCATATACAATATAATACAATTGTATATGATACACAATAGAAAAGACCTTTAAATAAATAAGCGCACTAGAACTGAAATACGTTTAAAAGGTTCCTAGTTTAGAGGTCAATTGGCGAATCCACGAAATGACCTAGCACTGAGGCCCCACATTAATCCTTCAATCTACAGTTTACGAAACATTGTAGCCACACTAAAGTTAAGAAAATATCGTGGAATGAAGCAAACAATGACTATTATTTTCTCGGCGGAAAATATTTAATTAAGAAATGAAGGACACTGATTATTTTAACATAAACAGATGGCCAGGAAATTTCCGCAAAAATATTTATCCAAAATCAGTTTATAACTTTAAATTTGTTTAAATAAAAACAGAATACGTATTATATACCCCAAAGTTTATAGTATAAAGCAATAGCGAATTACGCGTAGTACCTAGTTCCGATGCGTTATTTCGTGAGTGCCTTGTTAGCAAAATTATAACTTGGCTACGTCGTTCACAGCATTATTTATAAACATACGTATTCGCCCTACAAACAGGTTTTGAAATCGGCTAAACACAATTTCATATGCATACATAACCTTTTATATGTCGGTCCGAAACATTGTCTTCTTGTTAATAAAAAATTAAAAAAACATTAAAAAGCAAATCATGACAATGTTCGTTTCAGCTAAAGTTTATTTATACATAATAAACTTTAATCCCTAACTTGATGCGACTGCAATGGGGTTAAACCCAAAGAAAAGAAAACATAAAAATAAATATAACTAAAGAAATAGACGAGAAAATAACTTAAAATATTACTTACATGCTTAGGAATCACTGCAAAAGTATAATTTTGATATTTCGACGTTGCACTTCACCGTATTACATAACTTTAAGTGAATCTTACACGACTATAATTAAGTTAACGAACGATATTTACAACAAAATAGGCAACAATCATCTAGTCAACATCAGGCTGCGGCCATTTTGATTATACTCAAAATTTAAAAAATCTGTCAACATCAAATGACATTTAAAATCCGGTAGTCGTTTGTCTATAAATACTATGGTTAGAATCGTTGGGCCTTGTAACAAAAAATAAAGTTTTATCCCATAATCGAAAAATAAAATAGAAAAATTATTAATTAAAACCGATCCATAAGAACGTACGTACTAAAATATGTTCTAATGTTAAAAGTTGGCAAGTAAACGGATAATTTTGGACATCTTAATAAATAATAACAGGTATTTTATGATAACAGACTGTACATGTTACAAAACACGCTGTTATTTTATAACAGATATTTGTCACTGTTGTGGTCAAATAACAGCATCTGGTGTAACAGGTATACGATTTTAGCAAGTATAACACATTCCTATGGACATTTACAACACCAGACGGGTGGCAGATACATTGCCAACATAAAAAAGTGGGCCCCATTTACCTCTCAATAGATAAAACACAAAAGAATAATATTACCACTTAACGCCGGTTCTCTATAAGTCCGTGGTATTTCCCTCGACGAGCCAAACAGCTGAAGCTGGGTGAGTAGTTCTACCATAGAAAAATAATCTTTCTTAACATGTAAATTATAAACCTGTTTTACCAGTGAGGTGGTTGCTGAAACTTGTAACTGTTTCTATAAACTGTTATATCGACGGGAACGATTGAATTCATGCTAATGATCATATTCACACATACGCCTCTATAAATCAGTTATTCTGATCATTAAGAAGATCATTTTGATCAATTCAGAGAGTAACCATCCTTTTCGCAACTTTTATCACATGGAAAAAGCCATATGACAGCTGATCTTCTACGATGATCAGTGTTTCAGAAACCGGACGTTTAGTCTTATTTCTAAGAAAAATATGAAAATTAAGATATACCCCACATCTTGCCATATATACTATAAAACAAAAACATACAAATAGAGGTATTTAAATATTATTTATATTTTATATTATTTATATATATTATTTATAAAAATGTATTCCATTATAAACACACTTGATGAATTTAAAGAAGAGCTAATAGTAGATAGATATATAGACTAATAATAGAATATGTAAATAAAAATAATTACTATTATACGAAGATAGTATTTTACAATGAACCTGTAATAACAACAACATAATAAAATATTAATGACCATATCTGAGATACTAATAGTAATTATTAATTAATAGTTGGCCTAAAGGTCCTTGATACCGGGCTATAAAATCCAAAAAAAAAATTAATTAATAGCTATAGATTTGTCAATGTCAAATTAGATTTTCAGTTAATAAACAAAAGTACTCTTTGATTTTTAGTTTTATTTACAAAGTACTTAGAAAAGATATTGTTTGTCAGTTGTCATTTATCTGAAAAAAGTAGTGAATACTGATTGATGATCAAGATTTTTGATAACACAAAGCAAGCTAATCAGTATTGACTACTGCTTCTTTTATATATTTTATGAATTCATAGTTTCATGAGGAATAATATACAAATGAATAACATGCATAACAGCGCTTTTTATTTTTATTTTGAAGTAGTTTTTACGTACAGGTGTGTCTTAATATATTCCCAATACTTTTTTAGAAGTTTGAAATTGAAAATGGCAAAATAAAAGAATCAATAATGACCTAAATATCTATTAGGGGAGCATAGCATAACTAAAAGAAGAAGATATATGACCCCAAGTAATCTACATACTTATAGTTTTAAATAAATTTTAAATATATTTTAGAATTACTCTTTTAACCAGCAAAACTTAAAACATTTCATATTATACCACAAGAATATATTTTCTGAATTTTAGCACTAAATATTCGTATTAATATAATAGAAGTTATATTAGATCAAAAAAATTTAATTGTTATAAACTTGCTGTTTTGAATGTCACTTTTAACAATTGTGTAGCTTATGTTCATGCTGTAAGATAAAGTATTATTTGTAAAGTAATATTGATAGTATTCACTGATGACCATTGAAGTGCAATTCAAATTTAATGTAATACAAATATAATACAACCAAATCATTTTCTAATTGTTAACATCACTAAATCAAGTTTTGCCGCTGCCTGATTATTCGAAGAGCATCTTATGTATATATAGTAATATGTTGAAATCTTTTTTAATCCATGAAGACTTAATTGTTAAAAATAATTTTTGTTTTTTCTAAATAAAATATAACTTGAATTTATAATACTAGGTTCTATATCAGTTGTTGTACGCTGATTGGGATAATGCTGCATAAGTAATGGTACTTGTCATATACACTATAAATAATTTATTACATTAATTTTATGACTACAATAATTATATGGTGATGACTCCATGGCACAGTTGCCAAGGTATTGGTTGGGGGTCGTGGGTTCAATTCCGACACGGGACAACTATTTGTGTGACCCACAGATAGTTTTTTCGAATCTGGGTGTTTGTTTGCGTGAAATTTATGTTTGTAAAACATCATTACAACACAGGATAATATTATCCTAAAGTACTGACAATGTTAAAAAAAATAGTATGAATGTTTTTCTTTTTTTATGAAAACGGAAGCAAACAGTTTATACACTTTTAATTTTGAAAAGTACTGTTATGATGACTCAAGTTACATCTTGATTGTCAACACTTTGTCCTACTAAAGAAACTTAATTTGGTTTTAAATTATTACTCTCTAATATATGACGGTTCTTTTAGAAAATTATATATAGAAGAGATTGAAATTCAGGACTATATTCTAGAACATTTTCTAGCCCTATAAGTTCCTAGCTCATATAACATAACATAACATTGTGTATAAACATATCCTGAACATATTGTTGTGTTATAGATTCTGCTTTCAGCCTCACAATTATTTGTTTAATTAGCACTTATTCCACAGGCCACATTTCAGGTTCAGGTTTTGAAACTGAACATCTGTATGATCCATCCGATAAAGGCAAGGTCTCAAGGTTTTACGGTTCTGGCGGTGGATAGCGCTTGTATTTGGTGTACATGCTGACTAATTAACAGTCCGTCTCACATTATCACCCTAAAATACCTAGGATAGGCATGAGATGATAGCTCGTCATTATTTCGCTACTGGTCCATAGACACCAACCCGTACTGGCTGATACTAACCATAGTTCTGCTTAGGTGGTTCGGTAAAGTCCAGAGGGTATATAATACCCTCAATAGCTTCTTAACCCATGATAAAGCTGCATCAGACAGGCTTTAATAAAACCTTGTTCAACCGTGATGAGATGGTAAGTAGGTATAAGATACGATACTTTTTTTTGAAATTCATTAAATTATCTGAAATTAACTTAGTTGAATAGTCCATGTGAAGCAGATTTTACGACAATTTGATATTAGAGCTGAGTCTCATATTCTGTGTACTTAATAGTAGTAGCCGAATACACTTGACGACCCGATAGGCGTAGTGGTTGTGATCCTGCCTCTTACGCCAGAGATTGTGGGTTCGATCCCCATTACTGGAAAAATATTGTGTGATGAACATAGTGTTTTTCCCGTATCTGGGTTTTTATATCTTTATAATACATATTAATTTACAAAAGAAAAGTATGTTGATCAGTTATCTAGTACCCATATAATGTTTGGCATTACTCGATAATTTGAAGAATTTTCTTCAGTAAACACTAAAGAATATACGCCAGTGTCGCTAGATAAAATTGCATAAGAAACTCATTTAGATATTCAAATCTACTTTCCACTAATATAAAAGTTGAATCTTCAACAGAACTTATTTATCGGCTGCAGGTATTGAATGAAAAGGCAGAGATAATAAGAATGTATTATTGAATTTAACAAAAAACAAATGAATATTTAATTCTAAGCACTTTCCTATATACTGTTGTACATAAAAATTAATCGTATATATAACAATCTTAAAGTAGTCGATTTAAGGGAGTCGACCAGATAGTTTCCACAGGAGAACATAAAAAACAATTGCGATGTATTTGAGTATTTGTAAACCAAACATGTTCCTTTTGGCACATTCCGTGCCTTCCAAGATGTCCTGTACAATAATGATATTTGAATTAAAAAAAAAAACTCATCTTTAATGCTAAGCACTGAAACCTTTCACTACACTATCGTAGATAAAGATTGGTCGTAAATGAAATAATGTTAAGGTAATCGACCAAAAAAGCAACTGAAACAGTTTCCACCACAGGAAAGCATAAAACACAATTGCAACGTAATTGCGCATTTGCAACCAAAACATTTTCCTTTTGGCATATGCCGTGCCCTCCAAATTGTCCTTTACGATGTACCTTCGCAGTCCGATCATCCATATTACTAGTAGATCTTTCACATTCAGAGTCTCCACGTCGAAATTGAATATTGCCCTGTCGGTCTCTGACATATCCATATATAATTTGTGTGTGTTTTCATCGTCGAAAAACCACTCTTTCAGCATGAAGTAACTGAACGCTTCGTTTGATTTATAAACTTTTTGATACAGTTTTAGGAATCTGTAAAAACTTGATGGAATCAGTGAATATTATTTGTCAAAAGTTGGCAAGCGAGCGGGCAGTTCATCAAAGTATAACACGTCTTCTATACGCCAGTCTTCTTTGAGAGAGGGGCACTACCCGCGACGAGCGTGCCTATTCTGTAACAGCGGAATTTGCTACGTGGCCCTACCACATTGAACATTTAAATAATTGACCTATAATATACAAATAAATAAAAAAAAGAATAATGGGTTGTTTTTAGGATTCCGCACACAAAGGGTAAAACGGGACCCTATTACTAAGATTCCGCTGTGTTTCTGTTCGTCTGTTTGTCTGTCTGTCTCCAGGCCGTATCTCATGAACAGGTTTCTTAAAATGAATCTCATAATAAGGTTATGACATTTAATTTCTTACCTCCGTGGTTTGCCAAGCAACAAGCAAACGCCATCACATATTAATGCGGGTATGTAATGGAATAACCATGTCAATAGCAGAAACAATAATTTATTCTTCGTCTCTTTAGCACATGGATACCATACTAGTCTCGGGGTTGCATATTCCGGACCGATATGTCTTAATACGTGCGATTGAAAACCTGGAAAAGTTTGAAAAGTAGTGATGTAGAAATATATATAATTAGAGGGTAAGACGTGTCATCATTTTTTTATGTGAAAAGTTGCCAAACGAGCAGACGGTTCACCTGATGGTAAGTGAATAACCGCCGCCCATGGATATCTGCTACACTCGAGGGTTGCAGATGCGTTGACAACCTTTTGAAAAATTGGGCTCTCTCTCTCTCTCTCTCTCTTTATCTCAATCTCTTTATCTTTCTAGACACATTACTGTATTTTATTTTTTCGAGTACCTATTTTATTTTATTTTCAACCCATATGTCATTCACACCGAGAATAGTCTCATGGGGACTGCCGACAGAAGAGAAAACATAAAAGAGTATCAAAATTAAAATTGTATAATACCTAATTCTACATATTTTATAGGCATTCTGAACTACAATAACATTATGTATATCCTATCCATAACTACAAATATCTTTTTGCGTTTTCCTTTTTTAAATATATCTCATTGGAAGCGTTCGGTTACAATGAGGCGAGTTCCATGATTTTTGTTCACCCAAAAACTGCTCGACGCGTCTAAAATCTTTTCATTTGAAAATATTTTAGAAAATAATCGTACAACGTTCATTTTTACGTCCATAATTCTTTCCGTACTATTCAAAGTCAAATAATCTATACTCATTAAAGGCTTAACTTAAGCTCTTATTGAACATCATCAAAAAATCTACCACCGGTTCACTAACCTAGACTTGAACAGAGAAGAACCGGCAAGAAACTGCGACAAGACCGCTTCTTTTTTATTTTTTTTTGATGCAATTATAGAGACTTATTTAGGTATAAAAACAGCAGCAGCCAGAGGTCTTGCAAGTGCAGAGCAAGAGTCATTTCCACACATCATTCTCGTCAATGTATTCTTGGACATTATAGTAGGCCCTCGTCTTTAAGGTAGCTTTTACTTGTATTACTTTACTCTATGATAAGAGTACATGAACACATAACTGAATGCAATGAATATAAATTATAATAAAATGAAGTACTCGTTGGTATACTGACGCCAATATACCGCATTTCTCGTATTGCTGAGCGTGAAGATCTTAGGCTCTGTAGTAGGCCGCGCTCTAGCAATCTCCCAGGCGGCCGCTATGATGGCGTTGGTCACCATGTCAGCCGGTACCAGGTCGCTGAGCTTGTCCTTGTCCATGAGCATCGTGTGCATTAGACCTAACCCGATGCCTATCATCATCTGTAAAGCGGAACTTTCCGTCTGTCTTTCTTCTGTCTTTTTTCTTCATATACTAACTAGCGAACCGCCCCAGCTTCGCACGGGTACAATGTAAAAGTAAAGTAACAGCGTATACATGTCCCACTGCTGGGCAAAGGCCTCCTCCATACAGAGGGTATCAGGGCATAGTCCTTCACGCGGCCCCACTGCGTATTGGTGGACTTCACATATCTTCGAAAAATATTTCTTTTTTGTTATTATTTCGAAAATATGCAGGTTTCCTCACGATGTTTTCCTTCACCGCGGAGCACGTGATAAGATAAGGGTACAATGTATTAAACATATAAACCTCTAGAATCACTAGATAGACAGGTAAAAAAAACCGCATCAAGATCCGTTGCTTAGTTTTAATAAGCATACACAGGGTCAGATAGACAGCGGAACGACTTTGTTTTATACTATGTAGTGATGAACAACAAAGCGGTTTATCTATTGATTAGTAATACCAGACAGATTGGATTGAAGTTTTTTTTGTAAAATCGTGTTTTTGAGGTATTCGGATAATGACATCGAATAGCAGTAGCACCATCTCAAAAAGTTTAAGAGCTAGCAGTAGGCTAACATCTAATGCAACAATGCAAGAACCTCAAAATTTTACGGTGTATGAAAAAGGCTATCGATTCTTAAAGGTTTTTTTTTCTGCGTAAAATCGTCTTTTTTCCTCTACTTAAAAATCAAAAGCTGATCTAAATTTCAAAATTTAGTCCATATACAAGAATTGCTGGTTTAAAGTTATAAATGAATAAGTATCAGTTTAATATTAAATATTATAAATAAATAGAAAAATAAATTGAGATAATTACAGCCACGGAAGGTGTGACGTCAGATTTTAACGAAGTGGTTCTCTAAAGTATTTCGCTCACCAGATGAATCGCAAAATTGTCTTCTTGAGGTCCTAGTCATTCTCTGGTTATAGTTTATAACCGCTTTACGAATTTTAGTTATTAGCGTTTAATTTTCCTTTAACTAAAATTAACTTTTGTTTTTAATATTCATAGTGACAATAAGCACTAGTTGATAACGTTACGCTGGCGCGCATTATCTCTTGATTCAGTCGATTTTCGGTACAGTATTTGTTTTGTTTCTGATACGGCAGCAAATAAGATAGCATTAAGAAAACTCCCCAGTAGATTGACAATTGCTGAATCGTGAAATTTGAATATATGTCATAGTTTGTAAGCAATACAAAAAGCAATGCCTTTTATAATGCAATTTTCTTCTACTTAATTTGCATATATGCAAACTGCAAACTACATAAAATATGTATACTCACACCGCTCGGTCCAAATACGCAGCTGGTATCCACCCAACCTGGAGTCGGCTCACAGTATGTAGACACAACTGCAACCACCCAAATTGACGTGTTAAAGCTCTCAAAGACGACGCTGTCGACACTCACCCACTTCTTTTAGAGAAATATTCAGCCGGTAAATAAGGCATCACTGTTATTTGCATATGAACAAACGTTATAGAAAAAAGATGATCTCTAATAATAACTGGTGACAATATCTAAGAAGTGGAAATACAGGAAAATAAGCGCCAGAACACTCCACCAACAGTTATGAAGCTCTGTGCCTGGGTTTTGGCAATACTTATCTAAAACTTATCATTATCCAATGCATAACATTATGGAGATTTACTAAAGTTACTCCAATTCACAAATCTGGAGTTACGATGTCACTAACTATTTGCCTATCTGTATTCTGTGCTGGTTTGCCAAGATCTTTGAATGTCTCATGTACGAACAAATTTATAATAGAAAAACACATACTCAGCCATCTCCAACATGGCTTCATAACGAGGAGATTGACTAACGGTCCTTGTCTATGCGAACTTCATTTGTGATGCATTTAAATCCATATTTAGAATCTAACCCCAAAGGACCCGTTTTAAACGGATTTCAGCTATTGATCGGGTTAGTGAGTGATTACTTCTGATAAAGTACTACATTTGGGAATTCACGGCAACTTTCACTGGTGGCTCTCTTCCTATCTTAGCTGACGATCATACTTGGTTGCTTTTTTTTATGTGAAAAGTTGCCAAGCGAGCAGACGGTTCACATGATGTTAATTGAATACCGCAGCCCATGAACATCTGCTACACCCGAGAGTTCCAGATGCGTTGACAACCTTTTGAAAATTGAGCTCCGGCCACCTCACTCACCAGACGAAACGCGAAAGTATTACTTCCACTTTACGCCGGTCTTCTGTGAGGTCGTGGTACTTACCCGGACGAGCCTGCCCATTCGTGCAATAGCCGAGGCTGCTGCGGGGCCCTACCACCTGCTTCAGGTGAACCACCAGCTCCTATGCCACTTACTGACAAAAGAAATAAACCGTTGCCAACTTTACAAATTGCGGAGCACACTCTAAGCAGAAAGCGATTTACGCAATGTTCTCTGTACAAATCAACTGGCATTAGTTCAGAACTACCGGATGATCGGCGGTATGGGAAAAACGGTTATTTATGACTATGGTGATAAATATACCTATCGAAGGCTTCACGATGCACACCGGCAAATTCCCAGCCATTGTTCGAATAACCTCATCTGCCAGTGCTTTGGACAACGTATATGTGTTTGGCCAGTCCCGTTTCCAGCTGAAATTTAGCAAGTAAAAATAATTAAATATATTGACATAGAAATTTTTTACCTACTCATAAATACGTTATATTTCTATCGTTACCGAATGAAAGTTTGTTTCTGGTTGATATATAGCTTACTCGGACTCAGGGACGGAATCGAATTAAAGTTGCTTTGCATTTTTGTTAAAATATAGGTATACTACTGGACCGTACAGACGTTGTACACACGACTTAAATTCTACATCTTAGAAATTAAAAAAATAAGTGGACTGGATTGTGAATCCAAACCATTCTCGAATCGACCTGAAGACACAAAAAATTTCATTAAAATCGGTCCAGCCGTTTAGGAGGAGTTCAGTGACATACACACGCACTGAAGAATTATACAGCGTGTCATTACCATCGCGACAATAAATGAACACACATATAGGGGATAAGTTTTTATAGTTGTATTAAACATTTAAATTCTTTAATCATCAATATTTACAGAGGTATTAAATTTTCCAAAACAAAGAATTTTAGAACACCCTTACCTATAAGCGTAACGTAAAGTCCATTTGTAAAGGTCACAAAGCATATGAATGGGTTGAATGAATTTAAAAGAGACAAAACATACTGTTAGAAGGAGAGGCTTGTAATACGACGCTGTGGCGCGAGTTGTATAGGATGTTACAAATTTTGTTTCTTTTTTACTTAATTAGTTTGTTTGAAAAATATTTTTTTTAAATTATGGATTTTGTTTAACGTTAACATTTTTTTATGATTATTGGCAAGTAGCGTTAGATGTGTGTTCATTTATTGTCGCGATGGTAACGACACGCTGTATACATAAATATAGGTATGCAATGTGAACTAAGCACAGAGCTTCATAATGTGAATTTTAGCAACAAGATCTTAAATGTTCTATAGCTCACGGGATGGAGAGAGATAGCTCTGTTTTGCAGCTGCTAGTGGCTTCAGTACCACGTACATAGATTTGTTTACAACACATGACAAGAGTTTGTGTGGTCCACAGAGAAATTATTTCAGATCTGGGTGTTTGTCCCAAATGAGAATTAACGTTAGGCAGAGGGCCGATCGCCAATACCACTAACAATTTGATGTGTAAGGTGGAATAACCTCAGGAGGATAATGAGGAAGATGGTGAAAATAGAAATATCTCGATATTAACGTTATTATATCTCTACTGGCACGCCATTCGCAGCAATTTTGCAGATAGACCAGATAAATTTGCATCAGCACAGAATCCCCTATGATTATATCTCGTGTGAATCTCTTTACCACTGTGCCAGGTCCTCCAATTTCGCGTGGTCCTTTGACTCTGCCAACTGGATCACTGTCTCCGGTGGTGCCGGGCTCTCGTGGAAGCGTTCGTAGACGGTTGTGCCCTCTCGGCTGCGCGTGGCGTGCGAGTACGCGGTAGAAACGTGCACGTATGCCCTCAGCTTCCTGCAAGCCCTGCCCAGCCTCAGCGCCTCCCTGGTGCCGCGTACGCTCGTCAGCACCGCCTCTCCCAGCCCCATGTCGAACTTAACGTTCGCCGCCGCATAGTATATCACATCCACCTAGGAGCGAGTTATACTATGTAAACTCGATCAAATACTTGTTACGTCTGTTCCTGTTACTCAACAGTAACAGTAACAGTTACAAATACCCGTTACATAATAACAGCCCGTTATTTATATACTAGGATGTGACAGTTTGTGTAACTTTTACCATAGATTATCATACTGTAACAGCTGTTACAGTATTTTACTTTTTCAAAAAAATCAAAAATCTATATATGATGGAAAAATATGTGCTCAGATAGTACCTACACGTTTAGGGTGTAAAGTAGTTAAGTAAATCTTCATCAATCCTGAATCACCTCCATCCATCGACATCCCACTCATTTGCCCGCACTGGGGATGCTTAAATATATATTTCCGTTACCTAGTATTTACTTGTATCTCATTTGCGTACGAGATGATTGTTCTAGACCTTTTACTGTTTTTAATTAATAATTATTAATACGTTTAATAATTATTAATTAAACTCGGTATGCGGCTGCGGGATTCGAACCTGCTTCCTCTGGTTTCGCGTCCAGACGCTTTATCAACTAAGCTAAGTGGCCGTTGACCGACTCGAAACGACCATGGGGTCGTTTATATAATTTTATATCCCGAGTTTAATTAATAATTATTAAACGTATTAATAATCATTAATTGAACTCGGTATGAGTTATTATTTACCATTTTTAACTACGTTTTATCCTTGAGAGAAGTTCGTCGAAAAATTAAAAAGTTAATGTATCAAGAAGTACTATACATATAACTAAATATACCAACTTATCGGAGGTCCTTCACACATAGATAGGTCCAAAACTGATCGTTACATTCACCGATTGGACCTGACTTTAGGAGTTTAACTATTCAGTTAATAAGAAGAGTTTAGAGAAGATTATGAAACGTTAGTTATCAGTTAAGTATGTATATACTTTTGATTCTCAATCTCACTCTGTTTTGGTTATCATTTTAAAAAGGCACTTACTGGATCCTTCAGTATTTTATCCAGCCTGTCCTTGGGATTCAAATTCTTCTTCGACCGTATCAACACGTAAATTGTACTGATTGCACAAGTCCTGAAATGAAAGTGTGAATCTAATTAACATAACGTAACAAGAAAGTTAGATAGTTTAATGTTTTAGTATTAGAGTACGCTTTTACAAACAGCTGGCGAAAGCATTGAAAATTCAACCTCGATAATATGTAGCTTCAGAAAATTTAATTGTCCTAAGATCTGAAAATTAATATTAAATATTATTTAATATTCGTGTCGTGAATATTAAATATTATTTAAAAGGTGTCCTAAATAATTATTTAGGACACATTTTTACATAACGTTCTCTAGTCCCAAACTAAGCAACGCTTGTACAATGGGTACTAGATAACTGATAAACATACTTTTCTTTTGTAAATAATTACATATTATACATATATAAACACCTAGACACTGGAAAAGCATTATGTTCACCACACAATATTTTTCCAGTAGTGGGGATCGAACCCACACCCTCTGGCGCAGGAGGCAGGTACACTATCCACTTTGCCCTTCGGGTCGAAGCAGTCATTGTCAATTTATTTATTATCAACGGCTATTAATAAAAAAAGAGTTGCTGCGGGATTCAAACCTGAGTCTTCCGAGTGTCGCGCCCAGAAGATATAACTACTGAGCTAAATGGCCGATATTGTCACGTCACGAAAATGTAGATATCTATCTACTTTCTACATTGCATTTCAATAATATATCTTATTTTCATCTAGTGTGCATGCTTTACAGCACGCCCACACTTTTCAAACTATATTTTTCATCGAATTTATGTATTTAGCAGATTATCACTTTATAAATAAAATTAATCTTTAAAAGGTTTTATATGATATGATTTCTAGATAGCAGCCAACATTGTTTTGGTCATGAAAACTTATAAATAGTAACAAAATACTATAATACTTATAGGCAGCACTAATACTTAGTAGAAAACTTAGATAGTACTTAGTCGAAAACTCGTGGTTTGTAAGTTTTTAAACTTAGTTTATGTTCTATTTAATTATATGTAATGGACTGACCTGAAGAGTTTCTCGATAATGAACTTTCCGATGAAGCCGGACCCACCAGTCAGAAATATATTGCTTCCTTCGTAAAATTTCTGTATGGCCGAGTCACCAGGTGCTGCTGCTTCTATAATAGGCTTCGTTTTCGCCAGCATATGTTGTTCTACCTCCTGGGCTGGATCCATGTCTGCTAGGCAACTTTTTTTTAAACTTCTTTACATAGTATAAAACAGAGAAACAGAGAGCGATTGAAGCGGAAGGCTTATAAGTTGTACTAGCGACCAGCCCCGGCTTCGCACGGGTGCAATGTAGATATTGAATTTCTCGGCTATCCTCTTTAAGGAAGCTAGGAATAAACAAGTGGAGAAACATCATCATACGAGTGAACAGTATCATACGAGTGATACTCTTTATTTTAAGTGACTAACATTATGCTTAACATTTGTCAGAGCGACTTTTTTATTTTCCTTATAGAGGGCCTCCCGCAATTTCGACTGTACAAGAAAATACAATTATTCAAGACAATAGTTTAAACCCACTGACTGTGGGAAGGCAGTGATAATTATGTGCCGGGCGAATGACACAACAACCGAAGCTCCTAGCTTACAGCTATTATTTATAACTCTAGCTGGAGCATTTTAACATATTTTGATACGCGATAGATGTATTATTTATCACGTATCAAAATATCTTAAAAAATTTACTCTAACAATAGAGTTTATCGTCATTTTCTGCCGGAAGTTCTAAAGTTGTAAACCGGTCGCATATTACAATGTTTACCGCACGATTACCTTGGTAATTAAAACATTTTTTGGTAATTAAAAAAACTAAGACTTCGTAATGATTTTAATAACCGTGTTAAAGTTAAGATGAACGTATTTACATAAAGAAACATAAAATGTGTAAATGATGGGCAGGCTCGTCCTTGGATGTTCTATCTTCTCGTAGAAGACCAGTCTGAAGTGGAAGTATTATCATCATCATCATCATCATCAGCCGCAAGACGTCCACTGTTGAACATAGGCCTCCCCCTTAGAACAGCACTTTTCCATTTGCATCCACCGGTTCCCCGCGACTCTTATGATGTCGTCGGTCCACCTAGAGGGAGGCCTTCCAACGCTACGTCTTCCGGTTCGTGGTCGCCACTCGAGAACCTTTACTCCCCATCGGCCATCAGTTCTTCGAGCGATGTGGCCTGCCCACTGCCACTTCAACTTGCAGATCCGGAGAGCTATGTCGGTCACTCCGGTTCTTCGGCGAATTTCCTCATTCCGGATTTTGTCGCGCAAAGAAACTCCGAGCATAGCTCTCTCCATAGCTCGTTGTGTGACTCTGAGCTAGGGAAACTACGCGATATCTTTTCGTCCAAGATTCCACAGTGCCTAAAGACAAGGGTTTATATCCAGTGTGCGTTGCCAGCGATGACGTATGGCACTGAGACGTGGTCTCTAAAAGTTGGCCTATTGGAAGTATTATACTTTCGCCAAAAAGTATATGTATATATGTAAATAAGCATGCACTTATAAGTGTGTATATGTATATATCTGTTTTAATCATATGTCATGTATATTCCTATTGCACGATCTACATAGTAGAAGTTTCCTTTACGCCATTGGTTGCCTGGAAGAGATCGCTATGAAGCGATAAGGTCGTCAATTTGTACATTGCGTAAATTTGTTTTTCTATTGCCACTTTAGTGTACACTTTAATTTGTGGTGGATAATAAAAGTGTATTCATTCATTCATTCATTCATTTATCTTCCTTAAAATAATAAATCCCCTGGCATATTTTGTAACTTGTATGTTAAAACACGTCGCACAAGGCTTCTATTTCATTACATGTGAAAGTGTTCTCGCAAGAAAAACTTATTAGTAAAAAGTAAATCTTAAAATATTATCATCATCATTTCTGCCAGTTAGAGTCTATTGCCGAACATAGGCCGCCCCCACACACTGCCACGAATCACGATTCTGAGCCACCTGCATCGATGTCCCGCAAGTTTGTACAGATTGTCACTCCATCTAGTGGGGTGTCGCCGTAGACTGGTCGAATTTAGAAATAAATCATAAATTAAATATCACCTTCATCATTTTAGCCCGTTTGTGATTATAGCTGGACAAAAGTCTCTCCTCCAGTCTGCCACGAAGCACAACCCTAAGCCACCTGCAGTCATCAACTGCCGGCTTTGTTGTTATTATTTATATTTCTAGTTCTCTGAGCTTTAATGTACAAAAATTGAAACATTACACTTATGTTGGCTGAACGGTGACATTTTCGCTTGTTATATAAAGGAATTTCAAATCGAATTCAATTGAAATATGCATAAAATTCATGTAAAAAGGAAGTACCGGCCTTTATGTATTAGAACGTATTCTACCACCTATTGATACACCATTGCAGCTTTGCATGCTTAACTTTCAAGATGAATAATTGATTGTTATATATATATATATAATAAATATAATTTGTTACATATATATAATAAATATATATAATAATTTTAATATTATTTTAAACCACAGCGAGACTGTTGTTATTTTGGTTGACCCGGTCTTGAGTATTAAACGTCTTGATATCATCAATAAACCAATGTGAGACAACTAAAACAAAACAAAAATATCAACGTTCATATTGAAAATTCAAAATTATACTTTACGAACCTGTAAACCACTCTGCCGTGCTGCCCGCGATTTAATACAAAGAACTAGTTAGAAGCATGATAATTATTAAATTATATAAAATACTTGTTAGCATTAATTATGCAAGACTCGCACACTTTTTACCAATTTTGCTTGTGTTAGAATCAGTGCAATCCATCGGAACGTTGACGTAACAAATACAGTTATTATGTATGTATTTTTAGGGTTCCGTACCCAAAGGGTAAAACACTCCGCTGTCTGTCTATAAACACTAGAAATAAGGAGAAATTGACCACGCCATTGTTTCGTCTACAAAAAGTAAATAGGTCGTTCATGGGGCAAAGTGTGCACATGTGTAATAAAATCCCACAGTCGATATTAAGTCTGCCGATTGATCAATTTAAACGTAAAATTAGGAGTCAACTTATGGTTAAAGCGTATTAAACCATTGCGGAATATTTCGACGACGGCAATGTGTGGAGATAATGCTGTTGATACTTACTTAGAATAAGACTAAGTATTATACTTGTATGTTATAATGTAAGCTGATGGTACTTATGAAAAAGAGCAATTGTTGAGTTTCTTGCCGGTCTCTTCTCAACAGAAACTGCTTTCCGGTGGTACCTTACGAACCTATATTTATAAATTTTGATGTAAAATTTTACGATTAATAAGAACTCGCAAGCGTCTATTTGAATAAAAATATTTTTGATTTGATTTGATTTGTCTGTCCGTCTGTCACCAGGCTGTATCTCATGAATAGTTAGACAGTTGAGATTTTAACCGATGATGAATTTTTGTTGCTGCTATAACAATAAATACTAAAAGTCGGAAACAAAATTAAGTCGGGCTCCCATACAACAGATATGATTGTTTTTGCCGTTTTTATAGATAATGGTATAGAACCCTACGTGCGCAAGCCCGATTTTTTACGGACGGTTTTTTATTCCTGATTTTAATTCCGACATAGCTTTTATCCATATAAACAAAATCATAGAGTTCTGCCGTTGTGCGTGCATCACATTAAAATACTGGATAGATTTCACTAATTCTTGTCTAAGTTTAATTTCTTAGACACTGGTTCAAAAATATTGCAATAAGTAATAACTTAACTTAATGTGTAATTATTAAAGTTATAAGAAACAACTATGCACAACCTTTTCGGTGATGTGTTTCTTTAGTTGTGCTAGATAATCTACATTATTCAAATTAGGTATGCACGAATGGGCATGTCCGTCCAGGGAAGTGCCATGACCTCGCTGAAGACGGCGTGAAGTAGTTGTATTGTACTTTCGCAACACTGAAATGAAAATTGTCAGGTCATACTCAGAGGGTCAATCACGAAAGTTCAAATCAAGAAACTTCTTTTAGGTTAAGTGTTTACTCGACATTGACTTGATAACCAGTTAATAGCTAACATAACACACAAAAAATTTCATACTATTACAAGACTGTAAAATGAAAATCTTTGAAGTTTTATTTAAAAATCTTTACTTGTTAACATCTTTCTTTTCAACATGCTAAATGCATAATAGGCCAAAATATAAAAAATACCAAAGTCATCGCACTTATGAATATAGTACCCGGAGGACCGAGCTTTGCTCGGTTTGTTTTTTTTTGGTAAGTCGTGTATTTTGGAAATTACATTTAGTATTTTAGTAGTTTAGTTTTAGTAATTACATGTAGTACTGAGTAATGAAATATGCATAATATCTTTCGATCTTACCGACGTATTAATAAGAAAATATGAACTGATGTTTTTCACGAAAGAAAGAGCTTTAAAAAAAAAGGGAAATAATAACAAAATAACAAATCGACAAAATATTCAAAATTAAAGAAAGCAATGATCTGGAATCGAAAAAAAAGTAAAAAAATAAATGTGTAAATGATCGTGACGCGAACCACGGCCGTCTGTTTTGGGGCCGCCCGATTACCGACCGAGCTATTATGACATTTTCTCTTGCGGCGAAATTTACCGTCATATTCGAATTATATTTTTCATTCCCTGAAAACAGGGATAAAAGGGCATTTTCTAAAAATGAAACCTAGCTAGATTGATTTTTCGCCCCCGAATCTACGCACATACTAAATTTCATGAAAATCGCTGGAGCCGTTTCCGAGATTCCGATTATATATATATATATATATATATATATATATATATATACAAGAATTGCTCGTTTAAAGGATAAGATTGTATAAAAATGTATGTTTGTTTGAAAATGCTGTTATAATAATTATAGAAAACAGCACGTGAAAAAAAAACAAGTATGTAGAGCCTTATCGCGATGGAGTCAACTAGAATGACAGATTGATTGTCATTCTTTTATCGTTTAAACTAAATTTCTATTACAGGTTTATAATGCTCAGTCTAATGCAAATGAGTGGGCGTCGGTAATTACTTAATAATAGGCAAAGCACTCGTACCTCCATCACCACGATTCAAGAGATTCGCTTAAGATAAATGACGGCAAGATAGAGGGATCCTCTAGTTAAAGATAAAAAGTGTGTGGTGCAGTTGCTAAGCTTTTGACGCTAGGGTTGGGTTTGATTCCCACACGGGACGAGACTACTATTTGTTGGAATTACATATAATTGTTCCGTATCAGGGTGTTTATCTTAAGGACGGTTGACGTCTGGCAGGCGGCCATTCGGAAAAAACATAGCCAATACCATTAGAAATATGATTCACATATTTTGTCGGTCGCACTTTGGTGGAAAAGGGACATGCGAAAAAAGAGAGTTGATTTTTTTGCTGCTGGTTTACCTGATGTTAAGTGATAACCGCCGCCCACGGACATTTACAACACCTGTAGGGCTGCCGATGCGTTGCCACCTTTTAATAAAGTGCCCCCCGGCTACCTCACTCACCAGACGAAAAGCTGAAGTACTTTTCAAATGAGTCGCGAAAATTGGAGATATCTGTATACTTTCTAGGTACCTATTACGTGGTGTCATAGATTCACCTGTCACTCATAATTCTAACAGTGATTACATCGAGCGCGCAAACAGTGCGAGGGTCAAGTATCTACGGTCGGTCCATAATTAAATTATTAACGCGAAACCCAACTGAGAAGTTTTTTAATGAATATTAATGTGGGCAAACTTCGGCACCGTTATCTATGTGTTGTGTGAAAACCTGTCGTGTTGAAGTTTTTGTTTGTTTTAATTAAATTAATTCAATCACGCTTATCTGATGTTCTGGTTTTTCTGTATAATTTCACTGGCCAGTACGTCTACGACGCGCGGTGTACGTGTAGAGCACCTGGACGACGTGAATTTTATAACAATTGACTTTTTAATGAAGTACTTTCTTCACTGTCCGTCTAAATTAAAAGACACTGACACTGTTAACAGCTGGAGAAATCAACATTTCATTATTTTACGATATAGCAGGAAATTCATACAACTTTTGTGCTGTGCAACTTGTTTTTTTATCTGAGACGATGTCAAGCGAACTGGTTCACCTGATAACCGGCGTCCATGGACAATTGCAACACCCGTGGGCTGCAACCCCACGGGTGTTGCAATTGTCCATGGACCACCACGCGTTACCACCTTTTCATAAAGTGGGTCGAACGATACGAAGCGCAGAGGAATGACAATTCCACTTATCGCCGGTCTTCTGTGAGGTCGTGGTACTTACCAGCACGGACCTGCCTATTTTTACAAAACTAATAAAAAACTAGTATACATATATACCCAAATATATCATTCTTTAAAGAAAGTCTATAATAAATATAATAAATGATAACCGCCGCTCATATACATTTGCAACATAAGAAGCGTTGTAGATGCGTTGCCACCTTTTAATAACTAACCGGTTATCTCGCTCACCGTACGAAGTGCAGAAGTGTAACACTTCTACTTCACGCCGGTCTTCTGTGATTTTAAACTTCTTTATTTCGAAAATGATCCGGTTTCCTCAGGATACTCTCCGTCACTGGTGAGCACGTGGTAATAGGGAGTGTGGCCAAACGCCAATACAAACATACACCTTCACAAGCCAGCCTTAAATTACAGGCCAGTTCAGTGTGGGTTTTTAACTACAGCGTGGGGTCAAACCAGGATTAAGCTACTCGACCAAAAGAGGGAGGGAGGGAGTAGGCAGACAGAAAGGAGACTTATAATTTAACTAGCGACCCACCCCGGCTTTGCACGGGTGCAATGTATTATACATACAAACCTTCCTCTTGAATCACTCTATCTAGTAAAAAAAACCGCATCAAGATCCGTTGCTTAGTTTCAAAGATCTAAGCATACATAGGGACAGACAGACAGCGGCACGACTTTGTTTTATACTATGTAGTCATTACTACCTTGACGAAATTTTAACGATTATTCCAGTTGGAAACCCCATTTGTGCAATATTTTTCATGAATATTCTTTTGTTTTATAAGACGTTGTGTGTTCGCAAAGAATATTTATGGTTTTGCATTTTAGGATTTGAACATAAGACTGCATGTAATACTGAGCCAGTTAATAATTTTCTAGCACTTTATAAACACGCAGACAAAATTTCTGGCGTTGAAGCGACTGTGACGATCCACTTGCGTTGGAAAACTCTTCACCGTTTAATTTAATTTTACGGTGCGCCACGCAGCAGCCTCGGCTGTTGCACGAATGGGCAGGCCCGTCCGGTTAAGTACCACAGACGACCAGCGTAAAGCGGAAGTGTGACAAATACTTTCGCGTTTCGTCTGGTGAGTGAGGTAGCCGGAGCCCATTTTTCAAAAGGTTGTCAACGCATCTGTAACCCTTGGGTGTAGCAGATGTCAATGGGCGGCGGTATTCACTTCACATCAGGGGGACCGTCTGGGGTACATATTCAATACTAATTTCAGCAAAATAAATTCTGTGATCACTAAGAAGCTAGGACGGAGAGTAACACAAATTGTACCCATAACTTATACATTAAGGTTTCAATCAAAAATCAAAAATCTTTATTCAAATAGACGCTTGCGCGTTCTTATGAATCGTCAAATTTTACATAAAAAATTATACATAGAGGTTCGTACCACCGGTGTACCACCGGTTCGGAAAGCAGTTTCTGTTGAGAAGAGACCGGCAAGAAACTCAAAAGTTGCTCTTTTCCAAAGATATCAGTTTACAATATAAAATACCGGTATAATAGTCTTATTCTACTCTACGTGAGTATCAACAGTATTAACTCCACACATTTGCGTCGTCAAGATATTCTGCAATTGTGTAATATGCTTTAAACATAAGTTGGCTTTTGATTTTACGTTTAAATTGATCAAGCGGCAGACTTAATATCGACTGTGGGATTTTATTTTACATGCGCACATTTTGCCTCATGAACCACCTATTTACTTTTTGTAGGCGAAACAATGGCGTAGTAAGTTTGTCCTTATTTCTAGTGTTTAATTTATGTCTGTTTCTTTAGGTAAAAATTAAGGTTATGACGAATATACAAAACATTACAATAAATGAAATTGAGAAGGAAATAAATGAGGAAAATAAATGAATTGTTTCGAATTTTGCTTGTTTCATTTTTGGTGTGCAATAAATAAAGTATATTCATTCATTCATTGTTCTATAGATATAGAGATCCTCCGGTAAAGTCGACATTGCAACGATCGAAGAACTTAGCGATGTCTGCGCCGGGGGCTGCTCGAGATGGGAGGGGTCCCCGACTAAGGGGAGGGCTCGTAGCAAATATAACGCAGGACGTGCCGCGATCGCGACATTGTGGCGGCAGCTGCGTCTCTCCACTCTACTCCGGCCTAGCGCAAGGCAGGTGAGTCCTTAAACCCACGTAAACGTTATTAAAGACTAGATTTAATATTAAAACTACGCTACGCTGAAAGAGTTTTAAGCGAGAAATTATTAACTTTGTTTAACATTAACATTACGTATTAATAGTTTAACATCACAAAATATTGGAACAGAAATATTGTGAAACGTGCAAGAGTGTGGTGATTTCAATGGTTTGTTAATTAAGACATTAAATGAAAATAAATATGGTCATTTTTCTTAAGATCAGTAAGTCGCTTTTATATATAATCATCTTATTATAAAATCACAGGTACATAAATACATAATTAAGTTTCAACGTGTTATTTAAATGATTGCAAACATACTCTTTTAAGACATTTTCTCTACTTTAAAACGCTTTCTTGTAGTTAGAATTTAAAAAAAGTCGTGATTTTCATAAGAATTTCTTTCTAAAAATATATATCACCTTCAATTATCTTTATAACCAATTCTATAAAATTGTATGGTTGCAAAGAATAACTATAAGCATCTTGTTTTATTGAAAATTATAACAAAATATCTTCCATGATTTTATAGCGCGTTGAAATCTTTTACAGCGATACCAATATTTCTTTACATTGGAAAAATCTTGGCATTAAAAGCAATTAAAATACATCTGAATTAGACACCAGTCATGCAAAAAATTTATGATTGTGTAGATACCTAGTTCAAATTATTTTAAAATATGTTTTCAATTTAAATTTCATTTTTTGTTTATTGACAATAGAAAAGTTTATAGTGTCTATAGCAAAGATACGGATTGATATTTTATTCGTCTACATGTCGGATCTGCTTTAAAATGAAAAAAAACTATATTAAAAGGTTAAAAGGCATTAAATTAATTAAAATAATGTAATATCATTCATTTACTTAATTTAATGATTCGATTGACGATATGTATATTGTATGTGACCAATGGAACATCACAATAGTACTTATAACAAGTTTTAAAAATTAGATTGTATTAAGTAATGTTTGTCGAACTTATATTGATAATTATAAACACCGAAAATAATGACTCCAAAATATAAATGCTAAAATGTAGTTTAAGTTATCTAAAAATCTAAGTTTTAAGTATACTCATCTGACTGCTGCAGTCGATTTAAATCTGATTTCATGTTACGACTCTTAAACACCTTTTAATTACTAGTAAGACACTATATATGTCAAGTTAGAAATATACATTTTTCGTTTTTAAATTATGAATTAAAGCATAACTGGGAATGTTTTAACAGATATAAGGGTACTAAAGAATGTGTCAACTTTGTAAAAAAATCCAAAAAGAATAAGTTCATTGAGTACCCCCAGTAAAATAAAGTAAATTAAAGTAATGTTACAATTTTAAATAAAAGTACGATGTACTGTTACTGAGAAGAAGCCAACACAGTGAATATTCAGCATTTGAACAAATATTTGCAAAAGTATAAAGTTAATCGTTATCACAAAATAAAATTGACAGTAAAAATCTTTCGATTAAATTGATTCCTCAACTACCTCTTGCATCACTCGTAATATTTTAGATCGACTCTCATTTCATTTTGAACGTTTAACGAATGGAAAGGTAGTCAAATTTTATAAAAGAATATTAAATTTTTATTGGATCCTTCATTTTCATTTTATTTAGTTAACCAATTAATGTTTTTCTCGCTCATCAAAAGTATCGATTAAATAATCACAATTACTGGCACCAGACGTAGAGATTTAAACAAATTAACTTAGCTCATAAATTTGATGCTTCAGTTTTACATTTAGACAACTTGCAACACATAAGGCTGCTGTAATAAAAACGTACTATACATTAAGTACAATTTGAACATATATGGAACTTAGGTATATAAATGAATTAACTTTTATTGTGTAAAAATATATGCAAAAATGCAAAGCAGTGATTTTTTTTATATTTGTGATAATTTAAAAAAAATTATGTTAGTCTGCACGTAAAATGAAATTTTAATGGGGATTTAATATATGAATTGTCAAATAATTTGCCGCACTGTTAGGATTCAAACATGCGTCGAAATAACGTTTCGTCAATTTATCTATTAACAAAAACTTTTAATAAAAATCAATACGGCTCAAAATTGAATTTATTGTTTTATAAAATATCCTCCCTTTGCGTAAATGCACTCATTCATTCGATTAAACAAATTTTGAAAACATTTGTGTCCCTCCACCGTGTACACTGCATAAACGTGATTTTAATACCATTTGACAGGGTCTTCTGGTAATAAAAATCGTTGACCGCGTAATTGGTTCTTAATTAACGGGAACGGAAAAAAGTCACAGTGTGCCAGGTCGGGACTGTATGCAGGATGGCTCATAAGTTCTACGTTTTTCACCTTCAAAAATTCGTTTGTCTGTTTGGCCGGTGGGAACAAGCATTGTCATCAAGATGATACGGCGTTTACTGTTATTTTTACGCAGTTCGTCTACAACTTCCGGCAAACAAATGGTCGTGTATCAGTCACTTTTCACGCGCGCCTCTTTGTTTGGTTTCGGCTCATCTTGATCGACCTTTACGGTCGATTGCTGCTTTGTCATGTTTCGTCACCTGTTATTATCTCATACAAAATTTGACGCCCCTACGCTGAATCTGGTAAGCATGGCTTTGCACCAAGTGACGCAGTTTTTTGAGCCCCGGTCAAATCGCGTGGGATCCACCGCGATCAAAGCTTTCTCACATCCAAACGTTTGTGCAGTATTGATTGTATTTGACTCATACCTATGTCTAAGGATGTCCGAATCTCATAGTAATTAATGGCAGCTGAAGTAAGTAAATGGCGTAAATATGAGTCTTTATGTTTAGATTATGTATTTGTGCCATTTGCTGAAGAACTTTAGGCCCGTGGGGGCACATCAAATTTTTTTTAAAGTTTATGTCCTAGGCATAACGTCGCGGCTGATGACAAGAGAGCTATTCAGCGAGGAACTGCAACTAGCGTTCTTGGCACCATGCCGCGTGGATTAGGTTTATAAGATAATATGTAATTTTAGATAGATTTAATCTTGTAAATATTAGATCAATAAAGATTGTACAATTCCGTACAAAAAAATTAAATATTTCACGTGGGAATCGTAGGGGGCTAGTTTCAAAAGCTATCCCACCTAACTGTCAAGCCAAACGGACGTCACATTTACCCTTTTTTACATCAGTGATTAATTTCCCAATAATTTTTAATCAAGCACTATTGCGAGAGAGATTGTGTCGCTTCACAGGCCCTTGACTTATTGACTTCTGATAACACTGATTTGCCGACATTATCGCAGACTAATTGCCTGTCTGCGAAATATCTACACGGCTTTATCACGTCATAATTTTATTAGGTCAATGAATGAGACTGGATATGACGTCGATAAGTTTTCGAAATGTACAAGCTCTTGGAGCACTTTATTACAGCCTGTTTGTATAGAATTACAACCAGTGATTAATACTTTAGTGAAAAAAAGTTTGGGCTTAAATAAAAAAAAATATATATATATATATATATATTTATGTATTTTTGAATTTTATTAATTAAAAAGAAATACAATTTCACCTCAGTAATCGAGAACGGTAATTATATATAGTTTACGTCTGAAATAATTATCATGTCATAATTATGATCCCTAATCTTCTTATATATAAAAATGGATTGCTGTTCGTTAGTCTCGCTAAAACTCGAAAACGGCTGGACCGATTTGGCTAGTTTTGGTTTTGAAATATTTGTGGCAGTCCAGGGAAGATTTAAACGATGAGAAATTATGGAAAAATTGCATAGAAAATCGAAATAACAACAATTTTATCTTCCCATACAAACTGTACCTGTCAACCTGTCAACTATGTCTGTCAAACACTTCCAAATTCCCTAGAAATAATTTATATGGCAAAACAACGTTTGCCGAGTCGATATTATAAATGTGAATATAAGTTTGTTTGTTACGGTTTTACGTCAAAAGTACTCAACAGATTATCATGAAACAAGAATTACCAAGAAAAAGGAAATAGGATAACTTTTATTATAAAAAATAATAAAAAAAATATTTATTTAAGGGCTTCAACGCCGCCGAAGCCGCGGGCGAAAAGGTAGTATGTTATAAATTTAAACAGAAAATCTCAACATTCTATAAACAAACAATTCTCTAGGAGATAAGAAAACTGCTAATGAGCATAATTCGTTTAGCTCTCAACATTACAACCGTAACATCAAAAATGTGACAGAAAAATGCCTTATTATCAGGCGAGAAGGTCGCAATTGCCCCGCTTCAGGTTTTTCATGCAATAAAAGATTCCGCTGGAAGTTCCTGCCGCCGGACTATTCACGTCCGGTACCAGTCCTCCGTCTTGTTTCTTTGTTATGATTTTTCTTTCTGTTTTAACGTTTGAAAATCACAGAGCGAGAGAGAATTGAATTAGGTTCCTCGGTCTTTTAAAAAGTTTAAAAATATGAGGCAGTGGGCACTAATAAAAAATCATAATGAAAGCAACGAAACTCTATCGAATAGTTAACTGTTACAAAGAGTTACGTAAAGGCTCGTAGACATTTAGAGCTATGCAGACCGCCTACGAACAAATTCCCAGAATTTCCGCGAGCATTTACATATCTCTCCGTATTAGAAACATCGCCACAAACATTCGTTTGGTAATTTCTGATTTTCTAAACAGAATCCTAAAATGTTAGTACACTAATTTCACTTCAAGGTACAAGAGGCCTTTTGGGAAATATCGTAGATGCGGAAGATATAATGAGTTATTGTTGTTATTAAATACTAATGAAAAGAGGATTGTACATTATGAATTTCATATTTCGTATGAGAATTCTCAACGGCCACGACATAATTTACAGAACATAAGGTCCGCTCTTCTAAACCAAAGAGAAACCGCAATTTTAAGTTTAACAAATATGCTTTAGTTTAAGTTGTAAGTTTATCGTAGTATATTAATCGGAACATAAAATGAGTAAACAAAAATTCTTTAAAATTTTGTAATTTAAAAGTCGAATTACTTTGATGAATACTTAATCATACTTAATTAGCCAATATGTCGGAAACCAATAAGTAACTTGTAAAATGGTTCTTCCACCAGATTATATAATTATATTTTTGTTATCGAGATTGACTGAACACTATTATAATTCATCAGAATTCACAGACTGTTTGAGCGAGATTAATGCGGTTGTTGAGGACAGTGGTATTAGTATGGTATTTGTATTAGGAGACTTTAATGCTCAACCAGGTGAATTATTTTTTAATGAAATGCAGCAATTTTTGTGTGTTGAACAAAAATGGTGTTGTGCGGACTTTGAACTTTTGCCAAACAATGGGGAGACGTATACTTACATTAGTGATGTTCACGGATGCACACGTTGGCTTGACCATTGTTTGGTAACTAGGATGGCGAGGGGTTACATTGAGAATATAACCGTAAATAACAGTGTCTCGTGGTCTGATCACTATCCTTTGGAAATTTTTTGTAACCTAAACCCCTTACATACTCAGTTTGTATCATCATCTCGAGTTTCTAATAATAAGATATTCTGGGGGCAGAGGGATATTGACCAGACTAAGCTATTTACGAAAACTTGTGATGAGAAGCTAAGTAAAGTACTTTTTCCTATGGAGCTTACGAAATGTTGTGGCAAAACCTGTTGTAATGATGAACATAAACTAGTTATCGATAATATGTACTCTCATATTGTAAGCATATTGCAGTCAGGGGCAATAGCTAGTCATAAAATTGTAAGGAAAAATAAAAAAGGTTGTGTTACGGGGTGGAATAGGCATGTAAGGCCACTACACGGGAGAGCTCGTCTGTGTTTTCAGTCGTGGGTTATGGCTGGGAGGCCGAGTAGTGGATTTACATACGACGATATGCGGGAGTCTCGTAGGCTTTTCAAAAATAAACTAAAATGGTGCCAGGACCATGAAGATCAAATAAAAATGGACATTTTAGCCTCTACACACGAGACTAAGCAGTTTAGTAGGTTCTGGCAACAAACAAATAGACTGAATGCACGGGCGGGCCTTCCTGTGGAAGTGGGAGGCATAACAGGGAGTCAGAACATTGCCAATATGTTTAGGACTCACTTCAGGGAGGAACCCCTAAGTATAGTAGGTCAAACAGTGGACGGTGCTCGGGACACCGTAGACCCTTGGGTAGACTCATTGAGCTTCTCTGTTTGTGAGGTGAATGACGCAATAAGGAGTATGAAGCGGGGGAGATCCCCGGGGCATGATGGCCTGAGTGTCGAACACTTGCGATATGCTGGAGTGCACCTTTCCAGAGTCCTTACCATGCTCTATAACCTCTGTGTCAGTCATGGTCACCTGCCGGATGCAATGATGATGACGGTGGTCGTGCCTATAGTGAAGAACAGGACGGGCGATGTAGCGGATAGGTCCAACTACAGGCCTATATCCCTAGCGACAATCGTAGCTAAAGTTCTGGACAGTCTGCTTGAAATACATTTAAAGAAAGCTACTAAAATTAACGACGCTCAATTCGGCTTTCAGCCCGAATTGTCTACCGAGAGCGCAATAATGTGTCTCAAGCAGACTGTACGGTACTACACTGACAGAAAAACGCAAGTGTATGCGTGCTTCTTGGACCTGTCAAAAGCATTTGACCTTGTATCGTATAAAGTACTATGGCATAAACTTAGGACGGAAACGAGCCTAAGGCCGGAGCTGTTATCGTTGTTGCAGTACTGGTACGGTAACCAGTCAAATGTCGTAAAATGGGGAGACGCTATGAGTGACCCCTACAAGCTGAACTGTGGAGTGAGGCAGGGTGGGCTTACGTCACCGAGGCTGTTCAACATTTTTGTCAACCAGCTGATAGAGGGGCTGAGCAGAGCTGGTGTCGGATGCTCAGTTGATGGTGTCTTTATAAACAACATCAGCTATGCGGATGACATGGTTCTGCTTAGTCCTTCGGTCAGTGGCCTCCGGAAGCTACTTAAAATCTGTGAGGACTATGCTGAGAGAAATGGACTCAGATACAACGCCAAAAAGAGCGAGTTCCTTGTGTTCAGGGGAAAAAACAAAGCCACCAATTTTCAGCCAATCATACGATTGTGTGGTATTCCCCTGAAACAGGTGGCGGAGTTCAAGTATCTCGGCCATATAGTTAACGAGCGCCTCGTGGACGACGGTGATATAGAGAGGGAGCGAAGGGCGCTGTCGGTCCGGGGCAATATGTTGGCCCGCAGATTTGCGCGTTGTAATTCAGAGGTAAAATTAACGCTGTTTAGAGCCTACTGCCAAACCTTTTACACGTGCAGTCTGTGGGCGGACTACACGCAGCGGACCTTCAGAACTCTTCGTGTGCAGTACAACAATGTGCTGAGAGCGGTATTGGGGAAGCCGCGTCACTGCAGTGCATCTGCAATGTTTGCGGAGGCTCGTGTAGACGACTTCTACGCGATCTTCCGGAAACGTGTTGCATCCATGATGAGCCGGTTAGTGAACAGCTCCAATGCCCTTCTCAGCACTTTGGCGTGCAAACTCGACAGCCCACTCTGGAGGAGTTGGAATGGTGCACACACATATGCTAACAAGCGTGTGTGTATTTAATGTTAGTTAATCTTAGTCTTAATTATATTAATTTTAATTTCTTTTGATTTATTTTTTAATTTTAGTTAATTTTAATTTATTTTGATTTATTTTTAATTTATTTTCCCTTTATTGATTTTTTCATTTTGTTTTGTACTAACCAAATATGGACCCTGGTCTGAAATAAAGATTTATTATTATTATTATTATTATTATTATTATAATATTGTTATTTCTATGAAAACAACTTTGTTATAAAATTAGGGGCAATATATTACGGTTCTGTTTACATTAAGCTTGTTTGTGAATATTAAATGATCCAATGATTAAAACTACTTTCATATCCTACAAGGCTTAGAACCTTAAAGTAAACTTAACTTGTAATAATTTTAGTGTCGAAACGTCTGATGATTTTTTTAAATATCACTATTTAAGTGGCTACTTCATTTTAAATAAGAACGGTATGTAGTTCTTATTTGGTAGTTTCATTGCAGACAAGGAAATATGCACCTTTAGAATTAATGGGACTTAATTAAGAAAGTCATTATTTCGACTTTATATCAGGAAACGACCTAAACAAGGGCCGATTTGAGAAATCTACATAACGTACACTTTTTCTCTTTCACTCCCCTTCGATCACCGCGTTTGTTTATACGTGCAGAAATATTTATTTTACGTTTCCCAAAAATTTAATTTTTTTACATAGATCACTATAATTCTAAACGTGCGTTTTATATGATTGTTAAATGTGCTACGCATTCTTAATTAAACGCATTAGCCAGTACAGAATAGTAAAGTATAGTATAGGCTTGAAATTATGGAAATCATTTTTAATTATTTTACAGGGTCTGAGGACTCGTGAACTCGAAATTGCGATAAGGTTCGCAGTGTGCGGTGGACTCACACGTGGGCACGTGGGCACGCGGAGGATGTGGCGTTGCGTTTGCGCTTTGGTGCTCCTTTGCGCTGCTTTCACAAGATGCAACGGCCTAAAGAGTGCGGAGAGTAAGTGAATAACAATAGTAAACTAGTGAATGATACATGAAATGTCTAAATAAATGGTTTCATCTACACATTTTACATGTAATTTTTTCATGGTGCTAATATCTGTACTTAAGATAAAACTTTAATTTTTTTAGAAAAAGGGCGGAAAAGTTTTTTGCCGCCACGGGGAATCGAACCCGCGTCTCGCACCCAGACGCCACTAAACTAAACGGCTGATTACATACACATCGACGAAAATTTCAACGTCTTTCATCTACATTGTTTTTTTATCGCATTTTATAATAGATGATATACAATAGATGCAGGCATTACTTAAAATGGGAAAAAAGTTGTTTTTTTTTTAATTTTCATTTTAGTTTCAGTGAATAGCACTAAAATTTAATTCGATTAGCTAACGATGGTCCAATACGTTTTTAAATTGTAATAATAATGATGACGCTTTTAAAGAACTGGTGGTAAACGGGTACATGATACACCGGTTGGTCAATTAGTTTCAATTCAATTCGTTTATTAAAAAGTAACTGACAAATCTGTTAGTATTTAGTATAAGTCATCACCGCACCATTCTATTAGTAGGTGTAACAATGCTTTTTTTGTGAGAAAGTGGCAAACGAGCTGGCGGTTCACCTGATGTTAAGTGATAACCGCCGCCCATGGACATTTGCAACACCCGTAGGGATGCAAATTCGTTGCCACCGTTAAATAAAGTGGATCTCGGCAACCTCATTCGCCAGGGGAAACGCAGAACTGTAACACTTCTACTTTACGCCGGTCTTCTGTGAGGTCGTGGTACTTACCCGGACGGACCTGCCCATTCGTGCAACAGGGAATACTGTTACGTGGCCCTACCGCACCTAAATTCGGGTAAGTGCCTTCAAGCCTGATGTCGATTGTGGCTAGGAAGCTGTTCATACTTCTAGACACGACTACGCAATGCAGAAAGATGAAAACGAGGCTTCGGGAAAGATCGGCTAACTCACACATTCCTCTGAATGCGAAGGATATCTAAACAATAATAAATTCCACGTACTTAATAATTTTTCTTTTGATCACTGATTTTATTACATCTGTTTGTTCTTTTAGTGTCTACGGTGCCGTTTGTCTTGGGCTCACGGTACGGTAGATCCCCTCCGCGAATGATCGCACCACGCAACGATAGGTGAGTTATTGTTTTGTACAGTGAAGCTAATTATAGACAAATTTTCTTTATTACTACTAAAGAAATAAAAAAAAGCAAATTGACATTGTTGTATTAATTCTATGTAGGACTTGCTCTTGGCTTAAGTATCACTGCTTCAAAATTTCATCATGAAAATTTGGGCTGATGTTTTTTTTTTTTTTATACTTTTCGAACACCTTAAAAAGGGGGCTACAAAATCAAAACTAATGTTGCAAATACCCTTACAATCAGTGGCGATTAAAGCTTATTTATTATTCTCGTGGGCGACTGCTGTTTTCTTTAAATAACTTAGTTTACGAGTTGTTCAATGTATATAACTTATATATAAACAGCACATGCTGTTGAAACATTAGGTCCGTGGGGTCCCCGCACATCAAAATTTTTTAAAAGTTTATGTCCTAGGCTTAACGCCGCGGCTGGTGACAAGAGAGCTGGTTCTTTGCTCGCTCAAAGGTTAAGCATAACTATTCAGCGAGGAAATGCAGCTAGCGTTCTTGGCACCATGCCGCGTGGATTAGGTTTATTAGATAATATGTAATTTTAAATAGATTTAATCTTGTAAATATTAGATCAATAAAGATTGTAAATGGAAAAAAAAACAGCATATAATCTCTGATCTAGCGAAACTTATCCACAGTCGTTCTGGTCGTATTGTTACGTATTGCATGTGTTTTTGCAGGTTCTTCATGGGAAGTCGGTACGGAAAGAGGTCTGAAAATTCGATGCTCACGGCGCTACGCTCACTGCAGAGTTTGCCTCAAACCCCGAGTCGATATCTCTCGTCAATCTGCGAGCTACCTGCATTCGCGCCACTATGTTCTCGATCGCGGGCCGCTACGAAAGCTCACTACAACAGGTATACGCACTACGCGAGCGCAGGAGCGTAGCTGGAGCATAGCAGGAGCATAGCTGGAGCGTAGCTGGAGGGTAGCTGGAGCGTAGTATGAGTGTAGCTGGAGCGTAGCTGGAGGGTAGCTGGAGCGTAGTATGAGTGTAGCTGGAGCGTAGTATGAGTGTAGCTGGAGCGTAGTATGAGTGTAGCACTCATAACCATAACTAACATCATTCTCTTCGATGACATGTGACCTTTATTTTAGGCCATTTTATTAATGGCGTTTAATTTGCGATTTTTTCTGTACTTTAAGTTATTCTGGCCGATTATTCTAAAGACTATAAGAATAATCGGTAACAAAGCGACCTGATTTTTTTTTCTTTATATCTTGATATATCAACATTAATGAATTAACTTCTCGAGAGCCGTGATAGCTCAGTGACCGGGCGCTCGCCTTTAATTCAATATACTCGAGCAACCTGAGTTCGATCCCCGGTGCCGGCACCAATGAAGTTTTTAACTTTAAGTGCTGACTTATCACGTGCTCCGCGGTGAAGGAAAACATCGTGAGGAAACCTGCATATTTTCTAAATAATTACAAAAAATATTTCGAAGATACGTGAAGTCCGCCAATCCGCAGTGGGGCCGCGTGGTGGACTATGCTCTGATACCCCTGTATAGAGGAGGCCTTTGCCCAGCAGTGGAACATGTATAGGCTGTTTTTACTTTAAGATTGTTCAGGATATTTAAGTGAAATTAAGTAAAAGCTCAGACGCGTTAAAAGCCTTAAAAGCTAGAAAGACTGCTATGATAATGTCCAGCGAGGTCCTAAAGTTAAAATCGCATTAAATCAACACGCAGTAATTTACGTGCTTAGGAAAACTCAGTTGAATGTTTTTAAAACTCTTTCAAACTATTGGACGAATGAATGAAATGAAAAAACTATGTTCAGTCAATATTTTCTGGCCCTGTACCCTTCAATATTTTTTTGCAGGTTGGACCAAAGATATGGCGATAAAACGGCTTATGAAGACTAATTCGACGTGCACGATCTTTCATATCGAAGAAAATTGACCAGACACCGCGAATTAAAGAAGCTCCCGACCAAATGCGAAGACGTATTCAAATTTCTAGTCAAACTCCTTAATATTATCTTTAAGTATTCTTAGTTTAAACTCTAGAAGGTGGCAAACCGTCTAGAATCTAGCATTAGTATCTTAGGCAAATAGTTTTTACGGTGTTGCCGCGACTTTATCGAAGCGACTATACGGTTGTTACGGTCCTCCAATATAAAGATTTCAGGAATTGTCGAAAACAGGCGTTAGGCTCGGATAAGGTTATGGCTGGAAACCTTATTCCGTAGCTCTAAACATGCTGTATGCCTTTTTATAAGACAACTAGTAATAATGATAATTGTTAAACTGTTAGAGAAGGCTAATAAGCTAATGACATTATGTTTTACTCTTTTGCACATATCCAAATAACAATGTTTTGTAATGTAAAAACTTTAGCAATAGTTTTTTTTTATCTAAGCTTGGATGATCGCTAACATTTCACCGCAAATTTCAGTAGGACTGTATATTATTTATTATGATTTATATTTAGAAAAGGCGTACGTCATGTTAGATGTTTATATACAAAAAATCCTTTACTGTACATTTTCAATATGAAATTAAAAGGCATTTGAATCCCGTTTATCATTATTTTTTATTATCATAACTTCCCAAAAAAATACCAAAATAAATCATTCTTGCGTCATATGACAGACCAGACGTTTTGTGATTTCTCGTATACAGGATGATTTTTTAGACGAAGTACATACTTTAACATAACGTTAATTGAGCATTCCATAATTCAGAAAAAAATTAATATTTTATTTTGACAAGAAATAACCAGAAAAATATCAATTCATACATTGTTTTTTTTATCCCGTTTAGAGTGGTCACCCTATTGATAAATGGTTGAGTAATTAAGCGTTCAGCGAAATGTTTTAGTGCTCGTCAATAGGTTATTGTATTGAGACGGTAAGGCAGAAATTTCTCAAGGAGTCCATAATGTTTGAAAAAAACAAAAATAATCTTAAAAAAAAAATGAAGTCACAAGTACGTATCAGATTGAGATTTAGAATCAAATTCTGCATATGCTCTGTTAATATGTCCGTCGTCTATAAAATCAACCCGTATAAATTCACCTACATGCTGTTAATGGTAGGAATATGAATAAAGTCGTAATAGTAATTATCATACAAGTTAATTACAAAGTTGTATACAAAGACATACTACATAAAGTAGGCCCCGTTTATTCGTTCAACTTTTACAGTTCAACGGTTACTCACTCACAAACGAAACAGGAAAGTACAATACTTCATAAGTGCATAGAAATTCATTGTTTAAGTTTCATCTTAACTGCAGAGGCTTGTAAAGTAAAGTAAGTAGCAGCCTATACATGTCCCACTGCTGGGCAAAGGCTTCCTCTATACAGAGGGTATCAGGGCATAGTCCACCACGCGGCCCCACTGCGGATTGGCGGACTTCACATATCTTAGAAATATTTTTTTTTGTTATTATTTCGAAAATATGCAGGTTTCCTCACGATGTTTTCCTTCACCGCGGAGCACGTGATAAGTCAGCACTTAAAGTTAAAAACTTCATTGGTGCCGGCACTGGGGATCGAACTCAGGTTACTCGAGTATATTGAATTAAAGGCGAGCGCCCGGACACTGAGCTATCACGGCTCTATCAGAGGCTTGTACTAAAAATAAAATAAATTATAGAATATATACCAAAAGTTCAAACGAATTTAATAAAGCTTCGAATTAATTGGGCATCTGTGCACTCATCTGGTGGCATGCAACTGCCAGAGACTTCGTTGTACACGAAGGGTGGTATACAGTCACAGCCGTTTGCCACGCACTGCTCGTTGCACTCTTTCACGTCGCTGTGGCAGCGGCGGTCGCAGTTGCTTCCACAGCCAGGTCTTGAGTAAGGGTACCGGCAATCTGAATAGACCAAAACAATCATAAAGAAAGAAAGGCATATTTTCTATATATTTTAAAGAAAGAAAGGCGTTAAACGTTTTTGTGATTTAAACTTAATGAAGATAGAAAAGTGATAAAGAAGATGCAGTAAATTATATTAAATTTGATTATTAGGATCTTATCGTCGAACGAGACTTGGAAGCACTTGGTTCAGAGCGTTACAAGATATTAGGCATGCCATAGATTTCTACCGTTTATTCAAAAGCTGAGCATATGTCTCATCTGCATCTGACAAACTCAAATTCAAATATTTTTATTCAATATAGAAGCATTTCACTTACTTACCGATTGTAAAAATACTAGTAGCGGTTCGGAAGAGAAAAGCCACTGATTTGAGAAGAATCAACGAAAGAAATGCAGCGGGACATTTTTTGTAATAAATTATTTGATGATTCCGTGGCGCAATTGACACGGCGATCCGAGACAACTATTTGTGTGACCTACAGACATAAATTTTTCGAATCTGGGTGTTTGTTCATGTGAAATTTATGTACGTAAAACGTCCTTACTACACAGGATAAATTTATATAAGGGCAATGTTTTTCTACAAATAAAAAAACAGTATGTGTACTATATATAATAGTCCACATGAAAGAGCCTGGAGTGATCAATTAAATGGTTACGATTACTATTATATCATTAAGACATTAATCAGACAGTGTGCGTTGGAGTTACATGATCTTATTCCTCCCGCCCCTTTCCATCATCGGACAACCAGGCGTTCGGCGGGGCTCCATCCTTATGCTGTCGACGTTCCACGTACAAGAACAAAGCGATTCGCTTCTTCATTTATCATCCGTACAGCTAAGGAATGGAATAGCCTGCCTGCGTCCGTCTTTCCGTCCGAATACAACGTAGGCGTCTTCAAGGCAAGAGTGAATAGGTTTCTACTGAGCTAGCGCGCTTACCATCAACGGCTGCATTGCCACTTACCATCAGGTGGGATGGCAGTCAAGTGCTAGCCAGTTTTGAATTTAAAAAAAAATTAACACACAAACGTTCCTTTACAGTTTCCTTGGAATTTAGCAACATATACATTTTGAACGTTTTCTGGGATTTTGTTGTAAAAATGTATACGTTGACACATAAAAGAATTACTTTGTGGACGCCAAACATTGCTACAAATGCAATAGAACGTAGATAGATATCAAGATTTTCGCATCGTGTGGTCATCGGTGGCTTAGTCGGTAAAGGCGTGTTAGACGCCTTTACCAGGCGTCTTTATAAGACGCAGGTTCGAGTCCCATAGCGCCGAAAGTTTCTGTTAATTTATCTAAAATAATTAGAATTGAAAGATTTACTCATTCTACGCAGTCTAGTTGTTGACATATCGGATGTTCTTGAGAATTGAGCGTCATTTGAAGTGAACATAGCTAGTGGGCTGTTCATTTTATGTCGTAGAACACTTTCTACGACATAAAATGAACATAGCTCACTTTCTTCGATATATTATCAGTGCCGAATTAAGCAATTACTACACTTGCTACAGGGTTAATCCGGCACTGCATAATTATAATGAACGTAGCTCACATTTTCGAAATTCTACAAATTTTAATGTAGCTCTCTTTCTTCGACATATAATGAACATTGCTCAATTTCTTGGACATATAATGAACGTAGCTCACTTTCTACGGACTTCGGCGGGCACTTATCGGGCGAGAGGCAAGTGCCGTTCTGGGCTCGCAACTTGCCGCCAGCGCACACGCAGCCGCGCACGCAGTAGGAGTCGATGACGTCGATGCAGCCTGGCAGCCGGTCACGCTCGTAGCACTGGGTGGCTGTGCAGCCCGCCCCAATACAGTCGTTGGAAAACACCTCCCCGGGGCCGCATATCTCCGCTGAGTGGGAATTAAAAATACCGATAAAGTCACCGATTCACACAATTTTTCACAAGTAATATATATATTTGCAGTTTATATATATTAAGGTATATAATTATATGTCGCAGGATCATGATGTGACGCTATAATTTGATTGCAACACCATCTATTGGTAGCTCTCGGAAACGCCAAGTAGTGCGCTTGAGTAAGGTCGATACAGGAAGTGAGAGAGCGGACTTGACGGTTATGAGTCGTGGAAGTCAATTGTCATCGGACACGGGGGTGTGTTCTGGACGTGCTCGGGCACGCCACTCAGAAAAGGGACGGCGGTGCGAACGGTCATCTTCCTGTATCCAACTTGCTACGTTTCCATTCAATTACATCAGTGTGGTTAATAATTATTTTCTTTATTGTTGATTTTAATCGAACAAGTAAATTACAATGAGGGATCTGACAACGAGCTGTCCTATGTGATCCACCTATCTCGGACACACATATATATATATATAATGCAAAAGAAATATGCAAAAAAATTCATGTTTCTTATATGGGAGCCCCACTTGAATATTTTTTTATTCTGTTTTTAGTATTTCTAGTTATATCGGCAACAGAAATACATCATCATCTGTGAAAACTTCATCGGTCTAACTATCACGGTTCATGAGGTACAGCCTGGTGACAGACAGACAGACAGACAGACAGACAGAAGAGTCTTAATAATAAGGTATCGTTTTACCCGTGTGCATAGTAATCACCACAAGCTAATGATAAAATACGACTTACAACACGCTTCGGGTTTGACGCATTTCTTGATTTGAGTATCGTAGAGATAAGGGGGGACGCATTCGCAGCCGTCTTTATCGCAGCCCTTGGCGCTGTCGCAATTGTCTTCATCTCCTGGGTGGTTAGGGCAGCGAGAGTTGCAAAATCTGCCGCAGCTGGACTCAGCGTTGCGATCGTTCGTGCAACGGTCTATTGAAAAAAATACTAGAGAGAGACTGGATGAAACCCAAAAGCATAAATACTTACGCCGATCTTTCGCGGGACATTCAGTGCTACTTCGCCAATCAGACTGCTTATAATGAAATAGGAGTCGGATGTCGCTAATTTGAGATAATAAAAATTGCTTGTGTAAATTGTGGCAAATTGTAAACGTTGTGCTCTGTCCAAAATGAGAGTGATGTGAAAAATAGGGGGTTAACTTTTATTGTGATAAGGTGACAAACGAGCCGGCAGCTCAGCTGATGTTTAATGATAACAACCGCCCATTGACATGTGCCATACCCGTAAGGTAGCAGATGCGTTGCCACCTTTTTATAAAGTGCTCCTCGGCTACCTCACACGACAGACGAAACGCAAAACTGTAACACTTCACATTCACGCCGGTCTGTGAGGTCGGGGTACTTACCCGCACGGACCCGCCCATTCCTGGAACAGAGAAGACTGTAGCGTGGCCCAACAACGATATGAGACACCACTCACACACCATCAGGTAAATCACTTGCATTCTCGTCGCTTTTCAACCGTCTTCAAATTCTGATTCGACGGTATTTTTTTTAATGTTTGTCACCTCCGAACTTTCGACTGATTGAGCCGATTTTAAGTATTCATTTTTTATTTTAAAGCTGGTGCTTCCCATGTGGTCCCATGTTAATTTCATTGGTATTGGATCTTGCGCTCGGGAGATACATAGGCAATTCCTGCAAATCAATCACTAGATGAATACAGAGCGAGATATTTGAAGACGGTTTTGATTTTTGTTAATAAAAAAAAATGACTTGCTCTCGAATAAATGACAAGCTTGAACTCCTCAGGTTATGAATGCATCGCTTACAGAGTTCGGGACAATCGTTCGACTCGATGCATTTCCCTTTGGCGTCGCGCAGCTTGGAGCCTGAACAGATACAGCCCTGGGTGCAGGAGACTTCCGAAGGGAACTCCAGGTATTCGGAACATTTTTTAATTCCACTGTCTCCGCCCATGCAGTATTTGGCGAATACCTCGTCCGGACCGCATTTGGGGGCTGGAAAATGTGAAGAGAGAAACATTAAAGTTCGTAGACAAAAAGGACAAACATCCCTAACCGCCAATCCTTTCATTATTCCAAATCTACTTATATAACATATATAAGTATAATATACTCAAATATATATATATATATATTTAAGTATATATATTATATAAATATATTTGGAATATTTTGGGAATTCAAAATTCAAATTTATTTCATATTTAGGCTTGTGTGCTTGTGTTTCGTGACTCCTTTTTACACTATTTTGATTTTTCTTTGATATCCAAAATATAGACAACGACATATTACTTACAAAGACACTACACATTATTAATTGGAACAAACTAGATAAATCCGTAAAAATAGTTTCATTTATTAAAATGACATACCGTGTCGCGTCGTACTATTATGGGGATAAAACAAAAGAGTCACGATTAAATATAAAAAATTAAACATGGCGTCGAGGTAGGCCGCGTGGATTTTGCCGTTTGTGAACGTTAAACAAGAGCTGTTTATATATATATACTGTATACTAATATAATAACACACGCCACAATGCCAGTTAATTACTTTTAGGGTTCAGCAATAACATGCAAGCATTGTTGTGAAACAATTTTTTTTATAAAGTAATTTAAAGTTAACTTTTGTTCGCAAAGTGAAAATAGTTGAAATCAATTTTTTCGAGAGAAAGTGTGTATAGTATATATAGTGTAATAGTTTAATAGAGTGTATACGTGCTGATGTAGTCAGCCAGCGTAGAGCTACGCGACAAACAATTTTCAACACATAAAACATTAGCTGTCAACCGCGGCCTAAAGAAATTAACTATGAGTTTTTTATTTTACACCAGAATATCTAGCAGATGGCTGAATTTTTTCCTACTTTTACTTTACTTTACTTTATCAGCCATTAGTGTCCCACTGTTGGGCAAAGGCCTTCCATTTCTTCTTCCTACTTAGTTGACACTTATCGTTATCTATATTTTGGACAATTCACGCAATATCTTTATAAATTATAGCCTATGTGTTATTCTGATGTATAAGGTATATTATTGTAAAGTTTCATTAAAATCCATTCAGTAGTTTTTGTGTGAAAGAGTAACAAACATCCATCCATACATAATACAATATAGGTGCAATGTTAATACTAATGTGGGGCAGTGTGGAGTAATTAATAATGTTATCACTATGATTAGTTTATACTACAAGATATCTTTATACAGCCTATTCTCGCTGATTTGACACTCGTTAACTTGAATCTCTAGATGATTTGAAATTTTTTTCCGTCCTGTTGAAAAATACTCGATAAATTGAATAAAATCAAAGTTAAATTGGTCGCTTCGGTGATTTGAAGTTGAAGGAATATTGTCTTGCTCGCCAACCCGCGATGATTTGAAGTTCGGGCTTCTTCATCTCTTTATGATTTGAAGCGTGTATCATGCACATACGTCTGTTGTTTACATAAAGGAGTACTAGTGACTGTCAAGAATTCTTTGGACAATGCAAATGGAAGTCACTCACTCAAAAAATGATCATGGACATCTTTCCGAAATAAAAATTTATGAATAATTGTGTTATTAAATTTAATTGTTAATCCATAATTTTAATATAGAATACTTTTGATAAAGTGAGATTTTTATCAAAATTCCCCCCTTCCCCTTCGTGGTTATTTAAACGCTTGTTATTTTGAACTCTCGACAATTAGAAATTTATCTCTGGTCCCTTGAGTTTCAAATTATCGAGAGTCGACTGTATACAGTATTTACAGCTGTTTCATGAGACAATACAAACGTGTTCTCTTTATAGTTTGCTTACAAAGGCGCGTGCCTGCTGCTAACCATACTGACATACGGCCTGCCAGCAGCTCTGACCCCCTTTTTAGGGTTCCGAACCCAAAGCGTAAAAAGGTACCCATTACTACGACTTCGCTGTCTGTCTGTCCGTCTGGTGACAACTAGTCTGTACCTCAAGAACCGTCATAGTAAGACAGTTGAAATTTTCACAGGTAATGTATTTCTGCTGCCGCTATAACGACAAATACTAAAAAACAGAATAAATACTATTTAAGTGGGGCTCCCATGCAACAGACATGATTTCGCCGTTTTTATAGATAATGGAACGGAACCCTTCGTGCGCCAGTCCGACTCGCACTTGGCTGGTTTTAAATCTCTGGTATCATCTAAGATAGTCATTTTAATGGTATCGTACAAAAAGCAATTTTGATCCACACGAAGTGCATGCAATGTCATTAATGTATTTAATTGGATAAGGAATAATATTGTATTGCTTACAATAACTTGGTAAATAGCCCATAATTATTTTTTTTGACATGTAAAAGATAAAAATGGTTACTGTGGCAAATCCTTACGAGATAAATATACTATATTATTGGGGACTTTTTATCGATCTTTTCAAGATATACAATTCCGTAGTATATTAACTTGATCTATCTCGTAAGGTTAAGCCAGCCTAACTGTGGTAAGACCTCGTACCAGTTTTCACTGTTGCACGAGTGGGCGGGTCCATCCGGGTAAGTACCACGACCTCATAGAAGAGGTGTTACACTTCTGCGTTTCGTCTGGTGAGTGAGGTAGCCGGGGCCCACTTTATTTAAAGGTGGCAACGCATTTACAACACCCGTAGGGTTGGCTGTTGCAAATGTCCAAGGGCGGCGGTTATCAACTTAACATCAGGTGATCCGTTAGCTCGTATACCACTTTCTGACATAAAATAAAATAAAAACTAGCGCTAGCGCACAAAAATACGTTTGTTATTAAATCACATTAATAATCTTTAAATTTCTAGGCTTTTCTCTACTACTATATGGATTATTCTATCTTTTGCTGAAAACTGCATTAAAATAAAAAAGCGGGAGCGACTTTGTTTTACTTTGTCTTTACATAGTGTATTACTATGTAAAGACGAGAAGTTCCGAATAAGGACCGTACGCTGAAAAAGGAGAACTATCTCCTTCCCCTCCTCTAATCGCCTACGTGCTAACGTAGGCATTCTTAGTCCAATGCTTACCTAATCGCTTTAGTTTTAATAGAAATAACATGATGAAGAGTCAAAAATATTACACAATTTAAAAAATTACCATTTCTTAAATTTTAAGTTTTTTTTTATACTGCTAATCTCTGCACTTAAGATTAAAACTTAAATTTTTCTACAAGTTTTAATTACCGTTTTTTGCTTTGAGCATCAAATATTCAAACGACTTCAAAAACGGAGGAGTATTTTTTTCACTGTATTTTTTTTATGTTTGTTACCTCAGAATTTTCGACTGAGTGAATCGATTTTTATGATTCTTTTTTTATTTGAAAGCTGTTGCTTCCCACGTAGTCCCATATTAATTTCATTGGTATTGGATTTTGGGCTCCGGAGATTCTTAGGGAACTCCTGAAAATCAATTATAAAATGAACACAGAGCGAGATATTTGAAGTCGGTTTTATTTTTCTATAGTAAAAAATTGACTTGTTAAATTTACGCTCGTACAGATGTATGCCCAGGTAAGATGTATTTCAAAATGTACTAGCAGGACACCTTACTTAATCATCACAAGTAAGGCGTCGTGTTAGTAGTTGGATGCGTCGTACGTCTAGCATGATGGTTTAATGTGACCATTTCATCTAAAATAAAATCGTTGTCATTAAATATACATTATGTACGTGGCTAGTAGATTTAATGAACACATCAGATATTGCATTGAAAAAAGAAGACAATGCTTAAAGATCTTAAAGATTAGTGTAGTTAATATAAAGTGAAGTATTATTCAAGTATACGAACATATAAAAGTAATTAATAACGAGGACTGTTTGTTTAAATGCATCTCAGAAACATAGTCTGGTTTTAAAAATAAATCTGTCTTATTTTTAGCCAGTAAATAAAAAAAATCAAGGCTATAATTTATACCACAACCGCAATATCGAGGAGTAGATCACGAACCAATTTAGCAAGCATTAGGTTAACAAGGGGACGGAAAACCCCACTTTTATATCTAACATTACGTCATATTGAACAAGCTAAGGTTGCAAATTAAAATGAATAGGTACTTCATATTTTTTATATGAAAAGTTGCCAAGCGAGCAGGCGGCTCACCTGATGTTAAGTGAATACCGCCACCTATGGACATCTGCTACTCCCTAGGGTTGCAGATGCGTTGACAACCTTTTTAAAATTGGACTCCGGCTACCTCACTCACCAGACAAAACACGAAAGTATTACACATCCACTTCACGCCGGTCTTTTGTGAGGTCGTGGTACTTACCCGGACGATCCTGCCCATTCGTGCAACAGCCGTGGCTGCCGCGTGGCCCTACCACAATAACCTGAATCGTATCATCGTATTCGGTCTAATATACGGAATATCCGTTTATTTTGCCGAATAATTACCGTATATTAGAATAGATTTTTTAAACATTTAATTGTATAAAAATAACTTTGAACAAAAAAACCGACTTCAAACAGGAAACTAAAAACATTGTCAACACCTATAACATTTGAGGATTGCCCTCGATTTCTCTAGGATGCCATCATCAGATCTGGGTTTCCTTATCATGGTACCACCCTTAGGATATCTCCTTTTCAACAAAAAAAATAATCAAAATCGGTTCATAAATGACGAAGATATCCCCGAACACACATAAAAAAAAAATAAAAATAATTATATACGGTCGACTTGAGAACCCTCATCCTTTTTTGAAGTCGGTTAAAAATAAATTAAATTCACACGTCACATCACTCACTTAACAATAAAAAATTTGATATAATTTTTTGTTCAATACTTTTATTATTGGACCTTAACAACGATCGTACGGCAATAAAACTACACGTGCTATTTTAATAGTGTCTATTTATTACATTATCGTTACAAATAAAAATACTGTACTATTTGCCCTTTACTTCCGAGGACGACTGCAAACACGTTTTTGATATATTTAAGCAAAGGGCAACTTTAGCTGCCACATACACCGTAAGCGACGTTGGTTATTTCTAAACACAATAACTTCAGTATCAGGAAATATATCTATATATATATATAAAAATGAATCCCTATTTCCCTTGGTCACGCCATCACGCGTGAACGGCTGGACCGATTTCATTAATTCTTTTTTATAATATTCCTTGAAGTAGGAAGATGGTTCTTACGGAGAGAAAAATTAAAAAAATTACCTGAAAAAGTCTAAAAACAACACATTTCTATACAAAACGTCTATAGGATTCGTAATAATACTATAAATAAATATTTTATAAATATTTTTAGGACACTTTTCTACACAACATTTTCTAGTCCCAAACTAAGCAAAGCTTGTACTATGGGTACTAGAAAACTGATAAACATACTTAAACATACTTTTCTTTTGTAAATAAATACATATTATACATATAGAAACACCCAGACACTAGAAAAACACCATGTTCATCACACAATATTTTTCCAGTAGTGGGGATCGAACCCACACCCTCCGGCGCAGGAGGCAGGTACACTACCCACTACGCCATTCGGGTCGTCGTAATAATACTTAAAAGTCAATTTGAACTTTAATACCATACCATAAAGTTTAAGTGTTAGTTGAGGGGTTCCGGGAAGGTAAAACAAGTGAGTGACTGTGGTAAAATGTCACTTGAAATGTAAACGTTTCTTTACTGTGCATCTCTACATAGGCATAAAACAAAGACGTCCCGCTGTCTGTCTGTTACTATGTACCCTTAGATCTTTAAAACTACGCAACGGATCTTGATGCGGTTTTTTTTACTAAATAGAGTGGTTCAAGAGGAAGGTTTATATGTATAATACATTGCACCCGTGCGAAGACGGGGCGGGTCACTAGTCCTGTTATAATAATAAAATATAAAATAAAAAATACATCCTGTTATAAAAATCCTGAAATATATCCTGTATCAAGTGGGGTCAGATCACGGGTACAAAGTACTACGACAAATAGGATCTCAAAACATTTTTTCCTATGTGACGCGATTTCCGAGAATGCAGCGCTATATTTACGGTCATTATAAATAATGGAAGCTAAGTTCTATAGCGATAAAACTGGATATTTCTATATCTGTAAAATAAACGTCGTCCAACAAACAAATTACTTCAATAATTAACATTCAGGGAAATTACTTGCACGTTTAAATTAAGCGATAATAATTTGTTTTTATAGTGCACTTATCCTGCTCTATTAAATTCCGACTCACGTTAGTCTTTTAAATAACAGCTCATTAAAATATAGCCTTATCTAATGCTAAGACGAGTGTCGATAAATTGTGTATCTTCTTTTATTATAGATAGAGATAGAGGAATAGACGTTTCGTAGACATGTCATTCCTCACAGAGTCCATCCAAATCTTTCTCGGTTTTCATTTAGCCTTCACCCTCCAACCACGATCCAAATAATAATACATCTTGTTTGTGGATTAATCTATTAGTAACTAACTTTACAATTGACTGACCTGCGTTTTGTTAGAAACTACGTGCATAGCTATAGATTTGTATATAAAACGATTGGACAGTGTCCATACCATGTCTACCTACTTATATTCTCTGTTACTGGTGTCAAATAAAAGCTGTATATGTAGATTTATGTTATTTAATATAGTTTTCGGTGTGACTGAAACTCAAATAGACCGCGCCTTGGGCGCTTACATTCCGATATAAAACAATGACGACCCATCCGCTGCGATTTGAGTGTTTCTCTTTATTGGCACAAATTAAACAGAGCCCGTTCAAATAATATTGACTTCAGCTTAAGCGATTTGAGCGCCGATACTTTTTAAATACAGAGGAGACATTCTACTCCTGTCCTGTAGGCCCGCAGTCTTTTTACAGATCTTTTGATGCTGTGTCGTGATAGTTAGGGCAACAGCTTTTAATACAATATACTCGAGTAACCCGAGTTCAAATCTCGGTGCCGGCATCAATGAAATTGTTGTACTGACTTATGACGTCAGCGGTGAAGGAATATCGTGAACCGCATATCTACGAAATAAATACAAAAACTATGACGCAATTTGCTAAAATACCCTCTGTAATACAGAGGAGGCGTTTGCCGAGCAATGGGACATAATGTAATATAAGCTGCTTATTTTTTTATGTGAAATTTCATGAGCGTTGGTTATTGCCACCGGGTCATCCAGTCGCTTGCCCGTTTCTTTGCTTCGCTATATTTTATGAAGTATTGATATATAATTAGCATCACTGTGGCAGTGCCACGCAGCAGCTTCTGCTGTTGCACGAATGGGCAGTCTCGTTAGTTATTTGATTTTGTGATCGTTTGACTCTAGTATATCTCGTGATTAAATCGCGATCAGTTTATACGATTTAACCTAATAACTCCCTCAAGATAGGTTCCACTATCGATGGCAGTTCCTGCCGAGGAGCAAACCTCTGTCTTTGGGCATGGGCCCCAGTTGTTCCAGGGATCAAGTCATGATGTTAAATAGTAAAGATGAAGCATGTCCATACTGTGCGACGTTTAGGAATACTTTCAATTATACTATTTTTTCATTATATCTCCAATATACTAGTTATAGCGCGTAGGTATGTGCATGCCCCTGTCCCCTCTCACCCCTCACGCTACGGCCGCCGGCGCCGGCGACCGCTGCGCTTTAGTTCTGACGATTAGTCGCCTTCTGTATTCCAGTACGTACGCATGTCGCGCTGCCGCGGGCGCCGACCTCTGTGTTGTACGCGACTCATTAGTTAATAAGTACATATTGTGATTGTAACCGTTTTAATAACCGAATTAAACAAAATAGTTGACGCTTAAAAGACTTTTATTTATAGTCACCGCGAAGACGGTGCGTCACATAGTATTATTATATACATATTAAGATGATATAGAATGCATGATAGAAACATAGGTATAAAAATATGGGAAAGAGAGTCTATAGAATTGGTACCAATTGGTGTAATTTGAGTGCCTCAGTTTTTATGCGCTAGTGTCATATCTACCTCGTATCACTACATAGTATAAAACAAAGTCGTCCCTTTTTGTTTCAGTTTTTACTAGATAGAGTGATTCAAGAGGAAGGTTTTATATATGTACAATCATCGCATTGTAAGAGCTTCATTAATGAACAGGGCCTATTATAATGTCGAAGAATACATTGAGGAAATGACTCTTGCTTTGCACTTGCAAGTCCCCTAGTTGTACTTAACTGTAACTTTCTAAAATAGCATTTTTCTATTCCTTCATTTGTCACGTATAGTAAACATAATTTACTAATGAAGATACAAATATATATAACTTTGTTCATTCACTGAAAAAAAAAATCCTTCATGTGATGTCACCGTTTATAGCCTCCGCATCGGTCACAGTGACAAATATTCTTGGGGGATGTAGGTGACGTATTGTACAGGACAACAGAAGTGTGCGGTCAGCTGGCATTAGTTACTTGTTACGTATAAAATGTTACTGCAATATGAGAAATAATGTCTATATATTATTTTCGCAAAGGTGTTTTTGTGTGAATACAATAACATTCATGAAGTTTAATGATTAAGACAATATTTTGAAGCTTATGTTTAACGTTAATGATTAAAAATATCTACTTATACGACCTCCCAAAAAATAAAACAAAAAGATCAATGGCCATTGGTGTTTATCATACTGTGTTATGGTCAGTTGTTTTCACTTTCACACGGTTTTACTTCGTGTCTCTGTACATCGCGTTTATCTTAAATTATCTTCTATCGTTTAATAGTTGAGGAAAGTCTGTGTGTTTAATCCTTACAAGGGTGGAAATTAGAATCACCGCTTGTGTGAAACGATAGCTTTTCCCTCGGCTTTGCATGTTAAAAACCAGGGTTAGAGTGCGCGGGCCTTAGGGGATGGCTAGAAGATTGCGTCTCAAATCGAGTTTATTCGCCCGCGATGCTCAAAGCACTGGATAAAAGCCACTTGCATCATATTTACATCACCGTCTACTATTATAAAGAAAACATATGAATAATGTATATTAAAGCTATTTTTAAAGAATATTATCTATATTTTTGTTAATTTTTAATAACCTTAATTTTATTTACATGAAAAGTAGGATGCGACTTATGTACTTATAAGCTAAGTATATTGAAGCGTCATATTGATTTTCGAATTTGTCTGCTTAAATGTTAAATCTGTTTTAACAGATAGATTTTTCTGATATAATATTGAATCTTTGGTATAGATAGCAGAAAAATCTGTACACTGAACATTTTTGGTCTATTGATATTGAGGGGAAAATGATGTCAATTTCTTAGGGTACGTGAAGCCATTACAGTACGGTTTTATGATCCTCTTGTAATGGATTTTTACTCTAAATTTCCGTTTGTATTGTATATATAATAATAATAATATACGTACTTGTTACTAAAAAGTGCCTTCCCGTAAATATCATGGCTTAAACATGGTATTTGTGTCTATGTATATCTCTTTTTTTTTGTTCACCATCTTTCAAAAAAACCTGTACTACTTACGGTTAATAAATCATCTCCCGTCTTTAAATACTTTTTCTTTTTTATTTGAATGTCGATTGAAACAGTTTTTCAATACGTATTTAAGTTGGTTATTATTATCTATTTAAGTAGGATTTTATTATGTTATTAAAGAGGTTTTACTGTTCGCAACTCCAATCAGAAATTTTAAAATCAATTACTCAGAACGCAACTTCTGGTAAACACGTTGTTAATAAATTTCAAGATGTACTAAAATCGAAGTACCTAATATTAATTGCAAAGCAGAAAAATGCAGACAAATAAGAACAACCTTTTAAGAATATAAAACATGGAGTATTTATTTTTAGAGCAAGGAAAGTGGTATTTTGCAATTAAAGTCAAACATTATAAACATTACATACTTTTATTGGAAATTTACAATTAAAGAAATACTAAAAACAGATATGCCTATATCGCTGAAAAGAAAGTAATGGATTCATGTATTCTTCCTTGTTTAACATACGCGTGCCAGTCGTGGAAATTCACTAAAAAGTAAAAAACAAAATACCGACTTGTCAGAGAAGTATGGAACGTGGCATGTTAAAAATAAAGAAAATGCAAAAAATCCGGCATTCCAAAATCAGGAAACTAACTGAAGCTATAGATGCACTAAAATATGCTCAAAAACAAAAATTTTGATGGGCTGGCCATATAGCACGCTTAGAAGACGACAGATGGACATCCACTGTAACCTCGTAGATTGGCCCCTAAGGAAAAGGACGCATAGGCAGACCATACACACGATGGGAAGATGATATAAGGAAGGTAGCAGGACCACAATGGAGAAAAACTGCTAAATGTAAAGACAAGTGGAAAATTTTGGAGGAGGCCTTCACCTAAAGAGGGTTCATGCAATAGAAGTATTCAATTTATATATTGTTAAAAACTTTTCTTTTATACTTTTATTTAAAAAAAAACTACTAATTACTTATTAATCAATGTTAAATAACGTTTCGATTGCATGAAATAAAAAGGCTATTTATTATTGGTAATTTACAATTGAATAACCTAAATTAACTAAAATAAAAAACAACACCTCGTTTAAATAATCATAATCAACGACATAAACTAACTTTTTAAATATTAACGCATCGTACGTAAAGCAGATGAAGCAAGGTCAGTCATAACGATGGGTCTATCACAAAGCTGGATAGTTGGGAACAACCCGTTCCTTGAAGAGCATATTGTCTAGTTTAAATATATGCTAAATGAGCTTACATTATAAAATGCAGGCTTTTTCAAACGCCTAAACCTTTAAGACATTGAGTTGATTATCTATTAGATTAGACGTCTCAACTAGATTGTAACACGTGTTAGAGCCAGTTAGCTCTAACTAGTATAGTCTGTGTCAGGCGCTAGACGCAACGACACGTTTGTTCCGAGTCCCACCTAAGTTATTAATTTGACTCATATATGCCTTCGTGTGTGCTTGGCATGTTTAAAAACTCAGGAAATACAAATAAAGCCAAAAGAATCGCCTTTTAACTTTATACACTACTATCGCTGTAACATACAATTCTTCCTTTTAAGTCTTTCGGTCGCTAAAACAATACTAGAAGCGATCTAGCGATGCATAATAATTGTTTCAGCGCTGCAGCTCAATTGTTTCAGCAACTTTAGTTTTAACTCATAACAAAATTGAACAAACTTTCGGTTGGGATACCTATTTTAGTAAATAATTAATTAATAAAATAATTAACTCAATGCTTTTGATGGTAATTTGCCTCGCATTATATTGGACTATTATAAAGAAACTTAAAGACAAGTCATCAAATAGTCGTTGGTAGGAAATACTATCAAACTCAACTTTTAAGGGAAAGGATACAACGAGAAATCTTGACGAAAGAATCTTAGAAGAAGAGGAAGGAATCTTAGAATTAACAAAGATAATCAAATTTTTGCACCAATAATGCCTTCTATTTCTCTCTTAATGATTTTCCTTTATTGGCATGGGAATGTTCAAAATCTTGATATGTTACTATAATATTGTATTCGAAAGTAGGAACACGTTTACGGTTTGGGGTCCACAGGTTAGTTAAAACCTAACCTATGACCCAATGTATTACAGTATATAGGGAGACTATAAAAACGGTATAAAATACCGACTATAGACAGTAATTTATGTAGTGTGTCCACGCAAGAAATTTTTCTCAGTAAAGATTTCAAAATAATATTTATTAATCATAGTATCTGTTCAATACTTATATTCAAGTATAAAACACTAATGCCCGGTTTCTGAAACACTGATCGTCTAGAAGTTAACTAATCAGCTGTCAAATGTTATTTAATTTGTCAAAAGGATTAACTCTCTGAATTGATCAGAATGGATCTTAATGATCGGAATGATCAATTCAAAGCATTTCACCATCCTTTTGGCAACTCAGATAACTTTTGAGAAACCATTTGACAGCTGATTAGTAACTTCTAGACCTTCAGTGTTTCAGAAACCGGGCGTTAGTCTTTGATTGATCAGTACTCTTTCACCTTTCGGAGTATTGGTGTCACATCATGTCGTTCACTAAACTAGCATAGTTTTTATAGTTCTAATTGTGATCTCTAGGTGGCTTAATGCAACTTCGATTACGTCACATTAAACTAAAAAATAACAGTATTTAAAGCGCTTAAAGCGACGATTCAATAAAGTCTTTACTTCGATTTATTTTTTTAGCAAGGAAACAATCGCTTTTAATTAATTAATTATTTTACTTTATCTTAATTGTTCTACACTTACGTGTATGTTATGGTATCTATCGCTTTGGATTTATATTAATTACTTAATATTACTATTAAATGAAACAATTTTCATCAGACTGGTAGTCTGTTTCGCGGATACAGATAATTAGAATGAAAAATAAACGCGATATTCCTTAAAAATAGTTTCATTTAGTAATGTTTAGTATTCATATAAATATAAGATATTAATATTACTAATTATAATTTCATAGGGTTTTATACAGACTTTTATATATTGATAATACCCATCAGTTATAATGCTACTTAAGAAAAAAGAAATACAATAGTTTCATTTTTGTATATAAGATATAAACAGAGGAAAATTCTTTAGTTTTTGAAAACACCAAAACTTCATCACTATCGTATGAAACGTTTCTTAATACATATAGAATAAACTTACATTTATATTTATTTACAACGATAACATAATTTTAATTTGTGACGGGATTGGCCACGCCTTGCAATAATTTGAAACAAAATGAATTATTTTTTAATAAATAACTATAGATATACACGTATGTCAGTTCAAATAGCTTTGCCGTCTCAGGTGGGTTCAGCGGAACACGGTGAATGGTCTTCCGCTTTAAGCACTTGGGGCGATATTGGCGGGTCTGCGCCGGCTGACTCACTCGCGTCGGTCTGTTCAGAGGTCTGTGTGACGTTTGTGGCCACTATCACTTCGGGGCCCAAGCCCTCGGGGTCGAATCCGGCGCTCGACCCCCCGAACGGCACGAAGTAGTCCTCCCGCAAGGTCGGCATGACGTCCGACATCGGCAGCAGCTTGCCCGATTGCGTGACGAGGAACAGGGGCTCTTTGGCCGAGAGCAGGCTCTGAGCGACCACGAAGTCCGGGACGACGGTGAGTATCTGTCGGAAAAGGTCGGATGAGTGACCAAGAAATGTTCAAATCCGGAACCACTGTATCCGTCGAAATAAGTCGAGTGAAAAATAACCGTTTAAATTAAAATATACAAACGATGACCAGCCCTAGAAATGTTCATAAGTTTTGGAAGTTTTTTTTTTAACTCCTATCGATAGTTTTGAAACAGAGTGAGCTGTACTCTATCCTTGAATGACGACAAATAATAATTTCACTTGCCGTTTATCAGTGGGCACCGCCGCGTTACTCGGGAACGTCCACACACCCATGCTGCCTACCCACAAGGCGGCGGCGGATCCACAAAAGATTTGACCCACTTAAAGAAAAGGAACACTGGAGCATACCTGGACGTACGCGAGGGGCGTATCGCCCACCTTCTGGTAGACGAGGTGGCGGACGCAGACGCGTTCCGGCGCCGCCATCGGCGTCTGGACCGTCTCCGCCTCGCGCAGCCTGGCGAACGACCTGACCTTGATCCCGGCCGGTCGGGAGGCCAGTGGGGGGGCCAATGGGGGGGGGCCAGTGGGGGGGGGAGCCGCGGCTGGCGGGTCGGGGCCGCCCCGGATGATGGAACGCAGCCAGCAAGCGAAGGGGCCGAGGCCGCTCGCCAGCGCCTCGTCGACCCGCACCGCGGGCGGGTTGTACACGCGGCCGCCGTTTATCTCCATCGGGAACAGGATCCTGGCGGTGCGACAAGTTGCTTGGTGACCGCGGCGCGTTCGGGTGCACGCTTTTGAAATCTTGACGAATTCAAAATTAGCTTGAAGCTATAAGCGCAAATCAGCGTCATCGTTAAGCCTTCTGTGTTATAAGTACACGTCATCGTTACGCCTCTTGTGGGGTCGGCACAGCAAGGTAATCGTGTTATAAGTTTTCGGACTTTGACAACAGTCGCCCGCATTCGGAACAATCATCCGTGGGTCACACAAAAACTTGTGACATTTGCACCCATAGGGTTGCCACCTTTTAAAAAAGCGGGCCCCGGCTACCTCACTCACCAGTTCTGTGAGGTCGTGGTACTTACCCGGACGGGCTACCCATTCGTGCAACAGTGAACGCTGTTGCGTGGTCCTACCACAGTTGAATTGATGTTGTGTCGATGGTTTACCTATCGTTTATTACCTTATCCTGTGGCTGGTCGGCGCGAGGCTCCAGTAGGAGGGCCGCTCGCACGGCACGTCGCCGGTGGTGACCACCAGCAGGCCACCTTTGAGCGTGTACTGCGGTTGCGAGTCGTCGAAGCGCAGGATCTTCAGGGTGCGGTTCGGCTTGGTGGGCAGCTGCAGGAAGGACAGGGGGTCCGTTTCGCCATCGGGCTCGGACGCCGGTGGGGTCACCACGGAGGCTGCCCAGGGGTCGTTTGGCGGTTAGTCGCTAGGGTCGGCGGTCGGTGCGTCCGTATCGATAGGCGGTTCTGTGGGGAAACATTGAAGTAGGAATAGCCCGTTTGATGATTTGAGACCAAAGAGCAAAGCCGGCCAAGTGCGAGTCGGACTCGCGCACGAAGGGTTCCGTGCCGTTATCTATAAAAACGATGCGAAAATCATGTCTGTTGTATGGACCTCTTAAATATTTTTTTTTATTCTGTTTTTTAATATCTCTTGTTATAGCGGCAACAGAAACACATGATCTGTGAATTGTTTTTTGATTAAGATTTTATTTTTAACATTTAGTAGAATTCAAATGGAGGGCCATAGGCACTTACCTGGTGTATTTTGGCCGACAGACGTGTGAGGCTCCGTTGTCGTGTCGCTTTCTGTATCTGCGAATTTCTCCTGTACCATCTGATCCTGGCCGCCATCTTGCTGATCAGGCTTCAAGAACAGAAGGTATCCATCTGCTCGATATTATTTGATAGTAAAAATAAGGCAAAGTAACAGCCTCTATATGTCCCACGGCTGGGCAGAGGCCCTCCTCCGTACAGAGGGTATTAAGACAGCCCGCCACGCGACCCCACATATGTCCGTAATATTTTGTGATGAAACCTGCGTATTTTCGAGATAACAAAAAAAATTCGAAGATACGTGAAATCCGCCAATTTGCAGTGGGGCCGCGTACTGGATAGCGCCCAAAATACCTCTGTACAGAGGAGGCCTTTGCCCAGCAGTGGGACATACAAAGGCTGTAACTTTAACAGCCCTTTCCAAGCTGGGATTGGAACGTGAGTTTTCCGAGTATAAGCGTCCGACCCTGATATCCACACGGTGCGGAAATTTCCACATCTATTTACGTTTTATTTATAATTTTAGTTATGCGCGATGGTTTTATTTATAATTTTAGCATGGCAACACTCTCAAATAACATTTTACAGTGAACATTCGAACGGAATGTTACTTTTGTTTCTTAAATTATAATTATAATTTTTTTAATGCACAATAACATTTCGATTGCCTCTTGAGTGAAGACTAGCTTTGAAAATGAAACAGTAATCGTAGATTTAAACGTGATAAATTTCATCAAACTTTTTTGTGTGATACAAAGACACATACAACGGATTCAGGCTCTCTTTGTTAAACCTATGTTTATCAACGTACCAATGCGCTTCATTTGTGCAATACAGGCCAACGTAGTTCCAAAAAGCAATCTATAGACCATATTAAGTATTTATGATTAATTATGGCAAATGAACGCAAGTTTTTTTTGCAGTTTTTTTTCTTATGTAAGATGATGGCAAGCTAGCTGGCCGTTCACTTGATGTTAAGTGATGGCCGCCGCCCATGGACGTTTGCAACAGGCATAGATAATACATAAATAAATAAATATTATTAGGGTATATTTTTACACAACGCTCTCTAGTCCCTAACTAAGCAACGCTTGTACTATGGGTACTTGGTAACTGATAAACATACTTAAACATACTTTTCTTTTGTAAATAAATAGATATTATACAGTGATGAGCACACAGAAACTGGAAAAACACTATGTTCATCACACAATACTTTTCCAGTAGTGGGGATCGAACCCACACCTTCTGTGGCAGGAGGCAGGTCCACTACCCACTACGCCATTCGGGTGGTAGCTTCCAGACGCGTTGCCACCTCTTAATAAAGTGGCCCCCGGTCACCTCACTGACTAGAGGAAACGCGAAACTATAACACTTTCGTGATGTGGTAGTACAGCTGCCCACTCGTGCAGCAGCGCCCCACCACAGTTGGTGTCCCGGCAAGGGTGTAGCCGCTCACCGTCCGTCGCGTGGAGCGTGGCGACGCGCAGCCGGGGAGTCCCCGGGTGGGCGTCGAGCGAGGCCAGGGCCACGAGGGCGGGCGGCGCCTGGCCACGAGGGTTGGGGGTCGCGGCCGAGCGGCCCGCCGGGGGCAGCGTGGGGTGCACGAACACCTTCACGATCTGGGCCGAGCTGAGGATCCTGGCGGTGGTGGCCCTGCGGGGCTCCCGGGGCTCCTGGGGCCGGCGAACGTCCGCGGGCCGCACGTTGGGCAGCTGGAAGTACTTGAGCGCGGGGTTCCTCATGAACAGCCACTCCTCGTACGCGCTGGCGAAGAGCCTCCCGTCGGCGCCCGGCTCCTGCTCGGGCCGCCGCTTGCGGCGTCGCGCGGCGCCTTCGCCCCCCGGAGGAGCCTCCGCCCCCCCGCGCTGCCCGCGTCGCTTCGGCGGGGCCCTCGCCACCCTGGGCTTCCTCGGCTTGGCTCTGCGCGCGAGCAAACTTCTGCCACCTACGAATCGAACGGATCACTCAGTTGAAACAGCATCACAATAATCCCACTTCAAAACAGCAAAGACGATTCAGGTGACGCTTAGTGATAACCGCCGCCCATGGCCATACACACAGCCTGCGGGGTGGCAGATGGGTTTCCAAATTTTAAAAGAATTCGCCACGGTTACCTCACACGGGATTAGATGCGAGTGTGTAACATTCGCTATTGTATTTCCCCGTACGAGGCTATTGCAATAATCTACAATTCGTGCAACAACAGAAGCCGTCTCTAAACAAGTGCATTAATAAGGTTGATAGTTATTTTAGTTTTCCTGATATTAGTGATAACCGACGCCCATGGACATTTGCCACACCATAGTTGGAGATGCGTTGCCACCTTTTAAAATGAAATACAAACGAACGACATATACAATACTGTATGGAAAGAACGCTTACCTTCATCGCTGTCGGGTACGTTATTGTTGAGGGTAGGCTGCAAGCAGAAATATTAAATTGGGTATTGGGGTAGATAGAGAAAACGTACGCCAATTAATTAGCTCACTTAACCTGAATTAGTTCTAATCTTAGGCGGTCAGCTTTAACCGTCCCTTTAGTAACTCAAATGACATTAAAAAATCCATTTGACAGCCGGGCAATTAACTCCTACGATTTTTTTATGCGAAAAGTTGTCAAACGAGCAGACGGTTCACCTGATGTTAAGTGAATACCGCCGCCCATGGACATCTGCCACACCCGAGGGTTACAGATGCGTTGACGACCTTTTGAAGATTGGGCTCCGGCTACCTCACTCACCAGACGAAACGCGAAAGTATTTGTCATACTACCACTTTACGCCGGTCTTTTGTGAGGTCGGGTCTTACCCGGACGGGCCTGCCCATTCGTGCAACAGCCGAGGCTGCCGCGTGGCCCTACCACCGCAAGAAATGGCCAGTGTTTCAGAGAGCGGGCATTAGAATGGCAGCACAGCGAGGACGATCTTACCCAAAGACATCCAGCGTCCTCACCTTCGGCGGACCCGTCCCCACGTGACGCACGTCGGAGATCTGGATGCCGGTTTCGTTGTCGCCAGTTGCCGGGGCAGCGTGGCCCTGAAGGTCTTCGCCACCAGCTGTCGGAGCGTCTGGCTTCATTCGCGGCGTTTCTATCCCGCAGACGACCCCGTTCTTCGGTTCCCTTCGGGCGGGAAGATACGGTAAAGAAAAAACAACAATAAAGGGTTCCGCACTATTACTTATTTAAACGGCCAAAAGATCACGTCTGTTGCATTCTGTTTCAATGATATTAAATTCAGTGTCTGCGCCTAAATTTTTATGAAGCAATTCATTGCACAGACTCAACAACGCATTAATTACGTTGTAAAATCATATTTGAACTTCTGTCAAATGGTACCTCCCTGCAACACACATCATTCAACTTTGTAACATTGCGCTCTCACCTATTTTATATTAATTTTTCACTGTGAAGTAATTTCCAAATAAATGTAAATTATCCAGACACTTTGTGTTTGCATTTATGTTCAATACGAAACATTCAGTCATGTGCAAAATTCCACTCGTAGTGACTGTTAATCTTTTCCAAAGCATTCTAATGTCAATTAAATAATGCATTTCGTATAGATAATAAATTAAAATTCATATGTTGCAGCGATGTTAGTAGTTAAGTGAACCTTACTGTAATGCACTAGTGAAAGTTGCACCCAAATAAGTTAAGCCGTTTGATATTATCGCGCACAAACGCACCGGTAAACAGATAAACAGAAAAAAATTATATAACAATCATTGTTTTGGGTTCTATTGCGTTGATAAATGTCCCCAGTAATAGTTTGTCTCAAATGTCTTCCATGTACAGACAACAATCAGTTGCATTTTTATTATATTTATTAGCATTTTTATAGACATTTTCCATGTTTTAATAAAACGAAATTAAACTATTAATATATCGAATCCCATCATTTTTCACATAGAACATTTCTCTCGTTAAAATCTGTGGGAGTTAACGTTATTTAACTTATCTAGTGAATTGATGTAGTTAATTGAGGTTGATTTAATGACGCTTTCCGAGTACGACACTTACTCATGCATGGCAGAGCTGGACGCGGGATCTCCCTCGCTCGCAGACTTGTCACCTTCCTGGAATGTCGATATACTTTAAAGTAAAAAGTAAAGTAACAGCCTATACATGTCCCACAGCTGGGCAAAGGCCTCCTCCATACAGAGGGTATCAGGGCATAGACCACGCGGCCCCACTGCGGATTGGCGGACTTCACATATCTTCGAAATATATTTTTTTTTGTTACTATTTCGAATAAATGCAGGTTTCCTCACGATGTTTTCCGTCACCGCGGAGCACGTGATAAGTCAGCACTTAAAGTTAAAAACTTCATTGGTGCCGGCACCGGGGATCGAACTCAGGTTGCTCGAGTATATTGAACTAAAGGCGAGCGCCCGGACACTGAGCTATCACGGCTCTGATATACTTTAACTGTTGATAAATTGTATATGCGGTTGGTTAAGTGGTGTCAACGCATCTGCAACACTATGGGTGTTGCAAATCAGGTGAACCGCCGGTTCGTTCGCTTGCAACATAGTGTGCCCCTGCTACCTCAGTCACCGGAGGAATTGCGAAGTGTAAAACTTCCACTACACGCCGGTCTTGTGAGGTGGTGGCACTTACCCGGGCGGGCCTGCCCATTCGTGCAACGGCTTAGACTGTTGCGCGGCTCCACGACAGAAAGTGTGAGGTAAACGATTCAAACCTTCACCAGCTTCAGATCTGTGTCCACCCAGTCTATCAGATGGGCAAACAAGTAACTCAATGGACTCAAATCAAAAGGACCCCCACAAACGGTGGCAGGGCCACGCAGCAGCGTCGGCTGTTGCACGAATGGGCAGGCCCGTCTGGGTAAGTACCACGACCTCACAGAAGACCGGCGTAAAGTGGAAGTATGACAAATACTTTCGCGTTTCGTCTGGTGAGTGAGGTAGCCGGAGCCCAATTTTCAAAAGGTTGTCAACGCATCTGTAACCCTCGGGTGTAGCAGATGTGCGACGGTATTCACTTAACATCAGGTGAACCGTCTGCTCGCTTGGCAAATTTTCACATTTAAAAAAAATGACCAGGGTTCCACAACAGCGCGATTTTCAAGGCTTTTCTTGCCTCGCACAACCACTCTATGGAACCAGCTGCTGTCGGCGGTCTTTCCGAGCCATTAACCTGGGAACCTTCAAGAAGAGAGCATACTCTTTCCTAAAAGGCCGGCAACGCATTTGTGAGCCCTCTGGTGTAGCAGATGTCCATGGGCGGCGGTGATCACTCACCATCGGCGAGCCTTCTGCTCCTTTGCCCCTTTTCTCAATAAAAGCAAGACTGCTCCATCTATTCTAGAGGGAGAAGTCACAAATATCCTGCGATATGTAGGGTCGATCTCCGCCTCCACCCGACAGCGAGGCTGAACGTACCTGGATGAAGCTCCAGAGCATCCCCAGCTCCTCGTCAAGAGTGGGGTACTTGTGGCCCGCGGAAGACTTGGCGCCGCGTCCAGACCTGACCTGACACTGTGGCCCTGCGACCGAAACAACCGTGATACTACTTGATTGCGGGGTAAAGGAAGGATTTGCTGTACTGTATTTTCGTTTTTATTTCAAGTGTTATTTTTATATTTCTATAACATGTAGTAAAACTAAATGTCTGCTTGATGAAAAATGTCCCTCCTCGATACAGGCTTGCCTAGTGAGGAGACAACAGATATTACGTTTATACATCAAAAAGTCAGCAAATTGTACTTAAGGAAAGTTTTGTATATGTTATTTATAAGTCAATATTGACTTATAAATAACATATACAGTTTTTCTATTTTGTAGTGCTTTGTTGTAAATAAACATTATTATTATTGTACTGAGGCATCTGGTTCGCTGATGCCACGTTCACCACCACTTTGTCCAGCAATGGCGGGCACGTGCCCCACAGTTGTCGGTTCTTATCACGGCAATCACTTGCTCTTTTCGAGATTTATTATATTAACGCGGCGGTTTGTGGATGCGGGATTTAGAATTATGGTAAAATTCTCTTCTTTGGGGATATTCGCGGGAACTCGGGCGCACAGGCTGTTATCGATGATAGACTGAAGGGAAGGGGTCAAGCGGAAGTAAGGATTCGACCAATGTGTGAATGAAAGAGTGATTAGCCAATGTAGTAATTAAAATGCGTGTGTGCGAATGAAATGGCTAGTCCATTGATATTTTTAAAATCTGTAGAAAAATCAGTCTAGTGCGAGTCGTACTAGTACGTCGAGGGTTCCGTACCTACCCAATATACCCCTCATAGGCCCCACAATAAAATTGGTATATATCACCACCGATTTTCCCAGTAACGAATGGATCTAGCAAGATGAAATTTATACCAGACGCTGAGGTCTATAGTCCCTATTATGTGTATAATAATAGAAATATAATTAATAAAACCAAGGTCATGAGTCAACAAGATAAATATGTGTGACAAACGACAAAATTATAATTATAATATTAATTTTCAATTTTTTTTAAAAATTTTTACATAAAGAAAGGGGTGTTTAAGTATGTCTATCGGTTATTTAGTACCCATAGTACAAGCGTTGCCTAGTTTGGGTCTAGAGAATGTCGTGTAAAATGTGTCCGAGAATACATTACTTATTAATAGTTAATATGGGTATCTTAAATAAAACCTTAAAGCTAGAAGATGAAGATTAACGCTACTCACCCTCGTCCAACAGGGTAGTCTGTTCACGCCGGAGTTTCTTGTTCACCTGCCGGGGTCAATAATAGGCCATGTTTAGTACATAAAAGTAACAGCCTATACACGTCCCACTGCTGGGCAAAGGCCTCCTCCATACAGAGGGTATCAGGGCATAGTCCACCACGCGGCCCCACTACGGATTGGCGGACTTCACATATCTTCGAAAAATATATTTTTTTTTTGTTATTATTTCGAAAACATGCAGGTTTCCTCACGATGTTTTCCTTCACCGCGGAGCACGTGATAAGTCAGCACTTAAAGTTAAAAACTTCATTGGTGCCGACACCGGGGATCGAACTCAGGTTGCTCGAGTATATTGAATTAAAGGCGAGCGCCCGGACACTGAGCTATCACGGTTCTAGTTTAGTACATGCTTTAAATAAAATAAAATCAAATACGTCTTTATTGAAATAGATGATTGCGCGTTGTTATGAATCGTCAAGTTTTACATTAGAAAGTTATGTATAGGTTCGTAAGGTACCAGTTAGCAATAAGAGTCGTGATAGCTCGGTGTCACCCGGAAATTGAGCTTTTGTCGACATTAATTTAATATAATCAAGCAAACTGAGTTCGATCCCCGCTGCCGGCACCAATGAAAAACGTTAATTTTAAGTGCTGACTTATCAAGTGTTGGAAAACATCTGAAGAAACCTGCACATTTTGTAAAAAAAACAACAAAAACATATGTCGAAGTCTACCAATCCGCGTGATGGATTATGCCCTGATACCCTCTGTACAAAGGAGGGCTTTGCCCAGCAGTGGGACACTTATATGATGACATTGTACATTACTTTTGCTTTATCCGATACCATCTATGTATTATCATCGCTGAAGTACTTCATTTAGCACTTAAGACGTCATAATTACAAAAAACCCTAAAAACTTTAAAAGTGTAACGATCTTGGAAAATCGTATATACACACAAACATACATACACACACACACACGCTCGCACGCACGCACGCACGTACGCACGCACGCACGCAAACACACACACCAACGCTACGAGCGTTGATGTGTGTGTTTATGTGGGCGTGCTAGATTGCCTCGCATAACGACTCTGTGGAACAAGATGCCGCGGCGGCCTTTCCGGACCGTCGCAACCTGGGAGCCTTCAGGAAGAGAGCATTCTCTTACCCTAAAAGGCCCTAATAGGCACTTACCATCGGATGAGCCTGCCCGTCTGCCTTTTCACCGTGAAAAAAAAAAAAAAAAAAAAACACGAGCACGCACACACGCACGCACGCACGCACGCACACGTAGACGCACACGCCGATGGGACAGTTGCACCTTCACTGCGCAGCCACTCACCGGCTTGCCGGCGACGGGCGCCACCTCGGCGGTGAGCATGGTGCTGTTGACCCTGCGCACCTGCTCGATGTCCGGCAGCTCGACCCGCTTGGCTGTCCGGACGGGCCGGCCGGCGTCCGGCGGCAACCGGACCAGCCGCACCGCCAGCGGCCGGCAGCGCCCCAGCAGCCGGTCGCGCCCGCTCCGCAGGGCCCGCTGCGGCCGCTTGCCTTTGGCTTGGCCCTCGCTCTTCTTGCGCCGCGAGCGGGCGCGTTCGTGCATCGACGGGCCGTGGTCGCACCTCACCAGCGGCACCGTCGCCACCATCAGCAACTTGGCATCTGAAAGCGCGCGTTCATTGTGCAGGCGAAATGGAATTTTCGTGTGGTTATCACTGCACAGTACGAAACGAAGTCGTCCCGCTGTCAGTCTGTACCTACGTATGCTTAGATCTTTAACAACGGCTCTTGATTTTTGTTTATCAGTGCCCGGTTCCTATATTCAACAAATGACCGTTAGTTGCATAGCTCCGAAACTTTCATAGCGACTTGTAGATTAAAGGAACGCTAGTAACTCACTTTCCGTGGGTAATGCAACGGCTCGTAAGTAAAAGCCTCGTTTTATCAATATAGGAACCGGGGGTACACGCCTTTTATCTACAAGTCGTTATAAAATTACGAAGCTATGTAACTAACGGCCGCTCGTTGAATATAGGAACGGGGCATAGATAGAGTGATTCAAGAGGAAGTTTTATATGTATAATACATTGCACCCGTGCGAAGCCGGGGCGGGTCGCTAGTAATTGATAAATGCCGCCCGTGCACATTCGCAAGCACCAGTCGCGGATGAGTTGACGCCTTTTAATAGAGTGGGCCCCGGCTACCTCACTCCCCAGACGAAATGCAGAACTGTTGAACAGAACGCGTCTGTTTTGTGGACGTGAATACTTCCCCGAAATAGCCTTCCCATTCATACAACGAAGCCTGCTTTGACAACCACAGTTAAGTGCTAGGTTATTTTTAAATGTTTAATTTAAAATAGACAGAGTCGCCCGTCAAGATTTCTAAGAATACTAGTAATAACTTTTTTGTTACAATTACATAAATCATTTGAAGAACACAGAGACTTTGGGCATTATGTGTCATGATTTCTGAAATATACTTTTTACATGAAGTTCTAAAAATCTAACTTAAAGATATCAAATATATTAAAGTGGAAGTTTCTGAAATAACCTCTTTTTCAGAACACAGTTCATGATCCTGAACACAGTGTAGAATAACATTATCCAGTGTTGCAAGGACGTTTTACATACACAAATTTCACGTGGACAAACACCCAGATTCGAAACTGTTATCTGTGGGCGACACAAGTAGTTGTGTCGAGTGGGAATCGAACCCGCGACCCCGTCGAAGCCAATACCTTGACAACTGGGCCACGGTGGCATATAAAGTCGCAATATACAACATCATACCTTTAGCGAGTGCAACTCCATTGGTCACATCCAGTTTCAGATCTTTATTGCTCCCTCCAACTTGATCTTTCTCAAGTTCGTGGCTGTTGTCTCTCATTTTGGCTGCTTCGTGTGCGATATTGCTTGATTTATCGGCCGAGGATTCATCTTTTGGTTCTTTACTCTCGTTTATGACTGAGCCATCGTCGCCGGTTGGGTGTTCCGGCGAGTTTTCCGGGATCGTTTCTTCGGAGTCGCTATCGAACACCAGAGAGTATTTGATTCTAGTCGGATCAATACTGTTCAGTATGTCCACGCTCAATGCGTAATTATCATCGCCACACGTAACCTCCTTTGTTGCATCTAGAGAACAGGATTGATATTACTATCAGACTTGATTAAATTGTTGCAGGATTCTAATAATAGAAATATAAGTGCTGAATTGATAATATGTTATTGTCTATTGTAATTATCATCTTTTATCCGAATTATTTCGAGGATATTGTGGTGAATTATGAGAAATGGTACATTAGCTGTTTGCAAATCTTAATCAAAAGAAATTAAGATTAAAAGATAAATTTGAATTGTTTACAGTGCTAATCTTTGCACTTAAGAGTAAACATTAAAATAGGTAGAAAAAGTACGAAAAGATTTTCGCCGCTGTGGGAATCGAACCCATATATAACATTGGATATAACAATGGATGCGCCAAGCATTGCTTCAAATGCTGAAACAATGTAGATAAAAGATGTTAAGATTTTCGTTGGTTTGGCAATCAGCCGTTTAGCTTAGTGGCTAAAGCGTCAGGCCGCGAATGTCTAAGACGTGGGTTCGATTCCCACAGCAACGACCGTCTTTTCGTACTTTTTCTACATATTTTAATACTTACCGACTGGTTTCAACGGTCCATCTTCGCGGACGCCTTTCGCCACGTAACTAGTTTCCACGTCATCTGTCTACACGAGGCGGCGGAAGAGAAAAGTAACAATTCACACACATGTTGACGATGGCTCCGTGGCGCAGTTGCCGAGGTATCGGCCTCGGCGTGGGGGTCGTGGGTTCGATTCCCACACGGGACAACTGTTTGTGGGACCCACGGACAGTTGTTTCGCGTGTGGGCGTTTGTCCGCGTGAAATTTATGTATGCGAAACGTCCTTACAACACGGGATAATGTTATATTAAGTAAGGGCGATGTTTTAAAAAAATATCAAAAATCAAAACTATATACAAAACGGACACTCGCTCCCGTGTCTCAGAGTTGGCCACAGATAAAATTACAAAGATAACTAAAAATCCCCACTGCTGTGCGAAAAGTATTATTGGAAGACGCACATTTTCGCGCCAAAAATTAACAGTTTTCGTTCCGTACCCAAAGGGTAAAACGGGACCCTAAATTACTAAGACTCCGCTGTCTGTCTGTGTGTCCGTCGGTCACCAGGCTGTATCGCATGAACCGTGATAACTGGACAGTCAAAAATTTCACATATGATGTATTTCTGTTGCTGCTATAACAAAAAGTACTAAAAAACAGGATAAAATAAAAAAATATTTAAGGGGGCTCTCGAACAACAGACATGATCTTTTTGCCGTTTTTTATAGATAACTTTTGTATAGTACGGAACCCTTCGTAGGCGAGTCCGGATCGCACTTGGCCGGTTTTTTTAATATACAAGCGCGCAATAAAGGCGCTAGTATCGGCTCCGGATCCGGGGGTCGTTGGTTCGATTCCCACGAGACAACTATTCGTGTGACACTCAGATAATTGCTTCGGATCTGGGTGTTTGTAATGTTACCCTACAGTAAGGGGGCAATGTTCGAAGGGAAGACTAAAATAGATAGTTCTAAATCGCAGCGGTCATTAGCACTTACAACCCACGCAAGATTGTTATAGTTTAAAATGATATGGACTTTATTTTAAAGCTAAATTTCCTTCAAAATACTCGCACGTGACATGTGTGACGTCTGTACCTCACTCAATTCACAGTGGCCCTGTGAAACTATTTTTTCTATGTTCGCGGTTTAAACACAGTGCCGGATTAACCACGTAGCAAGAGTCAAACAGGGCCCCGCATAATTAAACCCATTCAACTCTGCCTTAGCCTAAACATTTTGAGCGAAACTTATTAAATAAGTGAGAGTATCGAATTGATTTTTCACCAATTTATACTTAGGGACGCATAGCAGATTAGGGGCTGTTTGAAAGAATTATACTGTTCAATCCCCGTGTGGCGCGTTTGTGCTGTAAATGTTTTCTCTCTCTCTATCTCTATCTCTTTCTTACGAATCCTTCCACGCAAAATACGAATACAGACCTTGAACTGCACCACCAGGCCGGACGCCACGAGTTCAGACCACAGCGGAAACGGCTCCAGGACTATGTATTCGAAGCTGGAAGCGGGAGACATTACTTCTTTATGCGCGAATGTGGCGACCGGGCCGGCGGTTCACGTGATGTTAAGCGATAGGTGCAACTCGTAGACGTCTGTGAGACCCGCACGGTTGCAGATGCGTTGCCACCTTTCGATAGAGTGTGCCCCGGCCACCTCACTCAGAAGACCAGACGAAACGCAGAAGTGTAACACATCTACTTTACGACGTTTCTTCTGTGAGGTCGTGGTACTCACCCGGACGGGCCTGCCCATTCGTGCAAAAGCCGGAGCTGTTGCGTGGCCCCACCACATTACTTATGTATATTCAAACGCTGTCTTCGGGCTTATAACAAAGAAAGCGCAGAGATTCCATTGTATTTTTTCTAACATAAATCGACACAAGCCTTGGGCGCTGCGAGATTCGAACCTGCTTCCTCCCAACTCACCCAGACGACCAACTAAACTAAGCGAAAATCTCGATACCCCTCTTAAAGAGTAGACCTCATGTATTACAGTAGATAAGAGTCCCAGGAGGTAGGGTATCTTAAGAATCCCCCCCCCCCCCTCTTGCCAACGCGCTCAGGGTGAGCCCCCTCCACTTATAACCCACAATATTAGACACCGTTGATTTACGGTTAAGAAAGGTTCATTTTGGTTTTGTTCATTCACCTAAATGTTATTTTGTATAGATAATTTGCTTTAAATTTCTGGGCAACACACAGAAAAGATTCAGGTTCGAGTCCCGAAAATCGAACAAGTATAATGAATCCACTTACCCGGAAGGAGCTGCCCATTCGTGCAACAAAGAGGACTGCTGCCTACCCCACCACAATTACTTCTTTAGACCAGTGTAAAGAGGGGGCAACGCCTATACAGGGTGGCTTTTCTAAAGGTGCCCAATTTCACACAGGAGGTTCAGACTCGGTAGTATAACGGTTTATTGAAATAAAAAAAAACTTTTTTTTTTTTGACAATGCGGTAGTCATTCATAAATGCGTCGTACACTTTTGAAACGAACTTGTGTGCGCGTTGGTTGTGAATGATCGCGCGTAAAATAAATGAGTTGCCCATAAATCACGCACTTTCTGAGATAAGTTCAAATGAATGTATTTAATTAATAACGAGTGATTTTAACCATTTACCATTTTTATATAACATTTTTTTCTGTCTAGAATTTAATAGAAACAATGGATAGACACTTAGAAAAGCCTCCCTGTACACAAGGGCGGGACGGAGAAACGCTGTCGCTTATCACCTGGCCACGATGGCCGTGAGGAGGGAGCATATGCCGGGGATGTACCGGTTCCCGCTCCAGTGGGGCCGCACTTGGGTGCGCGCCAACAGCTTCAGCTCGTACCAAAGGCGTTGTATATACATCAGGGACGTGTTCCCCTGGCTGAAAAGTGTTCATATTATAAGGGGCTAGCGACCCGCCCCGGCTTCGCACGGGTGCAATGTATTATACATATAAACCTTCCTCTTGAATCACTCATCTAGTAAAAAAAAACCGCATCAAGATCCGTTGCGTATTTTTAAAGATCTAAGCATACATACACAGGGACAGACAGAGCGGGACGATTTTTTTACAGTATGTAGTGAAGTATTCCTATTTATTTCTCGAGGAAATCGATTTTGTTTGAAATGAGGCAGACAAGAGAAACGGCGGTAACACTATTAAAACAGAAGATCGCATCGGTTAAAAATTACTAAGTAAGTAATTTTTAATCGATGTTTCGGCTTTTGATAGAAAACTTATAAAACTGAAGAGATAATAACATCCAAGCTAATTAATATAATCAGCACAGAAGCCGCATTGACATAACTTAGGTGCTAGATCAAAAAATATGAATGATAATAAATAAAACTTTCAACAAAATTGATTTTAGACGAAGGGGTTCCACAAGGTATGACTATAGTACCTAAACACTACATTAAAACATAATCCATAATGTATGACTTTGGCACCGGGAGCCGTGGGTTCGATTCCCACACAGCATCTAGCGAGACTCATCAATTATTGTTCCAGATATGGGTTTTAATTTCACAAGAAGGGATGTTGTCAGACAGGCGGTCGGTCACGTAAAAACTGACCAAAATCACTTACAATAAGAACCTCATGTTGTGTCGACCCAAACTAGGTGTGATAAGGTCAGGATTAAGATGGTACTCAAAAATATCCAATCATAACTGAACGAATTCACGATATTTGTCGGTCTTTAACTTTATCATCACCATTTCAGCCTGTTTGAGTGTACAGTTGAACATAAGCCTCCCACAGACTGCCACAAATTGCCATCCTGAGCCACCTCCATAGTGATATCCTTATTCCGCACATTTGATAACATCGTCACTCCATCTAATTTTAAACTACAATGTACAAAACGATGTTGCTAGCTATATGGCCGGCTTCTTACCACTTCTATTTAAAGATCTATGTCGGTTACCATTCTATGACTAACTTTATACCTTTTTCGTGTACAAACCATTTTACCTGTATGGGTAAGAGACAAAGGCGTTCATCCAGGCCTCCATTAGATCCGAATGATTCCTCTCCCGTATAGCCTTTTCTACGCCCTTCGCCTTTACCACTTTGTACAGTTCCTCAAGCATCGGCAATTGCTTGGACTTTGATAGAGTACCCTGAAATGTGTTAACGACAATTAAATATTTATTCAAATAAAGAATATACTTAGCAAGTCAATTAAGACGTTAATATATGCTTTTTTCTTTCATGCGAAACCTTTTTGTCTAGAAGATACTGTAAGAGAAATGAATTTTTGCTCTGGCCTAATACCTTATTAACTTCAACTAAATGTGACTGGTCAAAATGTTCTGCTTTGAAGTGCTACAGCGCTTTTGTCATACGCATATTCGTGTCAGGCCAGATTTTTAGAGTTCCGTACCCAAAGGGTAAAACGGCACCCTATTACTAAGACTTCGCTGTCTGTCTGTCTGTCTATCCGTCCGTCACCAGGCTATATCTCATGAACCGTGATAGTTCAGAGTTGAAATTTTCCCAATTTTCTGTTGCCGCTATAACAACAAATACTAAAAAAAAAGCTCCCATACAACAGATAGAATGGTTTTTATTGTTTGATTGTTTTTATAGAAGGATCGATGGGAATCCTTCCAGATTGGGCTGGATTCAAAATGATGAATGATTGGAATCCCTACCCGATACCCTCCGTATAGCGGAGCCCTTGCCCAGCAATGGGACACATGTTACTTGACTTATGTATATTTTTTTTATTTATTTATTTGGTGCGGGCACAAAATACAAATTATGACATTAACTAAAGTATAACAGACCACTACATATTACTTAACTTGCATTTCAATAACAACATTCAATTGGAATATGTTATTTTGATAATGAAGAATAATTAATAACAAACAAGCAGACGAACATTTTTCGGGGACTTAAAATATTATACTGTCTACCTACACACTCGAATTGACGGGCTGTTATGAGATACATTATTCCGGGTTAGCGGTTTATCGAAAAGATGACATGATGATGATGATGAATATGATATATACCTAGTTCCTATATTCAACGAACGGCCGTTAGTTGCATAGCTTCGTAACTTTCATAACGACTTTTAGATTAAAGGTACGCTAGTAACTCACTTTCCGTAGGCAATGCACCGGCTCGTAAGGAAAACGCCTCGTTTTGTTGATATAGGGACCGGGCGAACGCGCCTTTTATCTACAAGTCGTTATGAAAGTTACGAAGCTATGTAACGGCCGTTCGTTGGATATAGGAAGCGGCCGATAGCTGATGAAAAAAAGAGCCGTGATAGCTCAGTGTCCGGGCGCTCGCCTTTAATTCAATATACTCGAGCAACCTGAGTTCGATCCCCGGTGTCGGCACCAATGAAGTTTTTAACTTTAAGTGCTGACTTATCACGTGCTCCGCGATGACGGAAAACATCGTGAGGAAACCTGCATTTATTCGAAATAGTAACAAAAAATATATTTCTAAAATATGTGAAGTCCGCCAATCCGCAGTGGGGCCGCGTGGTGAACTATGCCCCGATACCCTCTGTACAGAGGAGGCCTTTCCCCAGCAGTGGGACATGTATAGGCTGTTACTTTATTAGCTGATGACCCCGCTGTGGTGACCGCCGCTCGCGGTTACCTTGTCCACGAGCTTGAAGCTCTCGTCGTGCAGGAGTAGGAAGTCGGCGACCGCCCAATCGATGACCAGCTTCGGGCCCGCCTCGGTCTTCGCCAGCAGGCTGCGTCTGGTGTTCAGGCAGGTGCGGCTCCTGCCACGCCCGGGTGTTTACTTAGAGAGAGACATTAAGCCCAACACTGGTCAGTGGTTCAGTGATCGCTCGAAGCCCGTTGCCAAGCTCTTGGCTTCGGCGTCGGGGGCCGTGGGTTCGATTCCCACTCGGGACGTGTGTTTGTGTGATTTACAGATAGTTGTTTCCCGTATCTTGGTGTTTGTTCACGTTACATTTAAGTGTGCGAAACATCATTACAACACACGACATGTTATCCTAACATTTTCGGAGGGACTACAATAGACATATAGGTTCGCAGTGGTCTTTGGCACTCGCCACCCAACCCCCTCCGCACAGAACGCTTATACAAGTGGCCAGCTCACCAGAGGTGCAGCAGCACCACGGCGTCCATGTTCAGACGCTCGCTCAGGTCGCCCACCACCGCCTTGTCGAACATGGGCCCGCCGGCGCCGGTCACCGCTACAGCGTTCCGCAGCAGCAGCGCGGTCAGCTCCCACTCGCCTGTATTCGTGGGCTCTATGCACGAAGTAGCCTGTCAGGGTTGAATAGTATCAAACACGGCTGACGTCCATATACGAGCGTTCCACGTGTCTTCAAACAAAATCTGGAAACCGTCGCCCTCGTGGACGGATGACCATACCGCAGCGTTCAAGACCACGCCACACGGATTCCCCAACTCATAATGACGAGCTCAACAAATCACATGAGATATCGGTTCTTTATCATACACTTTTTTATTTGAAAAATAAATGTTTATTCACGGTTTAAACACAATGGACACATACAAAACTTCCAAATAATAATGTAACTACACAATATATAATATTTGATAACAGCCGCACATTGAGATTTGCAACACCCATAGGTTTGGACTTGGTTAAAAGTATATTTAATAGGGCCCTCATGGGGCATTATGAGTTTAACAAGTATGTACATAAACAAAATGGGACTATCGGTTAACCCATTCTATAGATTCTGCGCTGCTGACGAGGAGACATCGATTCACATAATTTGTGAATGCGATGCCCTGGTTAATATTAGGAGTTAGGAACTAGAAGGCCCAAGTTGGCAAGGAAGGAAGCCCTGACTCCTCATCGACCATCAACTCTGATAGGGTTGTTGTTATGGAGAGGGCTGTCTAGCTCGAAGGGAAGACTTTCAACCCTTCTCTTCTACACAAATTATAATCATTCATATAAAACATAAGTAAATAGTGTCACTTGTACTTTAATGACTCGTGGCAACAGACGCAGTTTCGGTTCGACGCTGCGCAGCCAAGCTGGCACTAAAACCAGCGCGTACTCTGGGGGCCACCTCCGCGTCTTGCACAGCTGCACCAGTCGCTCAAACTGTTTAAAGAAAAGTGTGTTTAGGCACGACGATGATTGAAACCAACAACCCCATCGGACAAAGGTGTGGAAAGGCAAATCGTTAAATCTCTCCTTCGTTTATTCAATTATTTATTGATGATGCAATAAAAGTAATAAATACAAATGTTCGTCTTTAGTGTCAAGAACTGTATCATTACTTGTTATTTTAGAGTAATTCATCAATTATTATTAATTTATTATATATGAAGTGCCTAATTAATATTTTCATAGTCATTGATTGCTGCCTAAAGTTGGAAATAAATAGTATCATTTAACTAGAATTAGTTATATTATATTTATTTAGAAATAAATATAAGTAGGTATATGCAAATACCAGAATTAACTACCTCTATTTATGACTTTAGAACAAAATGGATTTTGATTACCTAAGCATTTGGCCTAAGCTCTGTTATTAAGCCATGGTAGACTATATCAGATTTTGCTTCGGGCATTTTTGACATAGAAATAAATCCAGAACAACAATGAGGTAGAAAATCAAGTGCGGTGCAAAGACAAGTTAAAAAAGGTGTCTTGCATGGTATTGTGTAGCGATATTCACCTTGTTAAACAAAACATGGCGCAATTGGATACACATGTTTTCCATAAATTGTATATCTGGCAGAACACCCACTTCCTGTGCCACCTTTGTGAGTGCTTTGTCCTGAAATAAATAACATTTATAGCCATGTAACTTACTGAAATTAAATAGTTGCAAATAGAGACATCCATAGTTTCAATCATATAATTTCCAAATATTATTTGATGATGCAATTGGCGTAGTGGGTTCTGCACCTGCCTCTTGCGCCAGTGGGTGTGGGTTCGATTCACACAACTGGAAAAATATTGTGTAATGATCATGGTGTTTTTCTAGTGTCTGGGTGTTTATATCTTTATAATTATTTACAAAAGTAAAGTATGTTTATCAGTTATCTAGTACCCATGATACAAGCATTGCTTAGTTTGGGCCCTAGAGAATGTTGTGTAACAATGTGTCTTAAAAAGTATAAAATATCAGCCTATACACATCCCAGTGCTGGGCAAAGGCCTACTCTGTACAGAGGGTATCAGGGCATAGTCCACGCGGCCCCACTGCGGATCGGCAAAAAATATATATGTGATAAATATATGTTAATCTTAATATAAGAATCTATCTTTTTATTATTACATGATGAATTAATAGTGTCTGTATGCATATAACTTAAGTTTATAATAATAGGAAAATGAAGAATTAATTTTTTATCTCCACTTACTTACCTTTTCACTATTTAATGCTGGATTCTTTATCTCATGTATATACATTTGAATCAAGACATCATATTTCGTAATCTCTTTTGTGAATATTGACAAAAAAACTTCTGAATTAAGAGTTTTAAAAGACATCTTGATGAAGTTTGCCTTTCTGTAAAAAACAACAACAGTTGTAATCATTCCAAAAATCAGAATTCTTATATAAAACAATATTTCACAGATCTTAACCCAAAATTTATTTTACTTATTATAATAACATGTGAAATAATTAAGGAGATAAGGTCCTAACTGTCTAAGCTAGTGACAAAATAATAAATAACATACAGAAATAATAAAATAACGAACTAATCTTAAGACTTCGGATGAAGTGTTTTAAAAAAACATATAAAAGATAAAAGAAACTATGGGAAGAGACATGTCAAAAGAGTAGACATAAAAGGATGCTGCTGTATCAATGGTAAGAAGAAATAAGTAACATGAGAAAGTTGAGCCAAATAGGCACGTAAGTTCAGTTTACGTACAAGTAAACCAACCTGCAACTTAATGACTTAATGGCAAACCATTTTATAAAGTACTATATAGTATAGTAAGTACTATAAGCTTTAATAAATTCCATGGAAAATTCATTTTCCCGACATATTGAAGGAGAAATATGAAATTTTAAAACAGGTACCACTATGGCATTATTCTGTGTATCTATAAGTTAGTGTTTATTTTTTTCTTAATGTATGTAAACTTCAAAAATACTGCCTAATACTGCCTATTGCAAAAACTTAAATATAACCGTAGAACTAATATCTTAATTTGACCCAGATTTATGATATGTGACCAGATTTACTAAGGAGTAAGAAATTTACAACAAGTAATTAGAATTACCATTTGTTTTTAACAACATAAACATACTAAAATATTATGGATGGAAATCTCAATGAGAATGTCAAAGAGAATGTAATCACTATGTAGGTACCTACGTTTACGTGGGAAATCTGAACAAACGTCAAACGTTACTTTTTTTTCTATGATTCTGGTTCTAGCATTTTGTTATCCTTTACCTTTATGCCAATGACAAGTAAAAGGAAGGAAACAGTGGTTTTGTTGAAATAAATTTATTTCAACAGGAGTAGGAAGCGCAATTTGGAAAAAGGAAAATTATCGAGAAGATTTACGATACATATATACAATGTGATAAAGTATTATTAATTACAGAATATTTATTTTTACCCTTATATAATCAGAATCTCGGAAACGGCTCCAGCGATTTTCATGAAATTTAGTATGTGCGTAGATTCGGGGGCGAAAAATCGATCTAGCTAGGTTTCATTTTTTTAGAAAATGTCCTTTTATCCTTGTTCTCAGGGAATGAACAATATCATTCGAATATGACGGTAAATTTCGCCAAAAAAATTTTATAATAGCTCGGTCGGTAATAGGGCGGCCCAGAAGGTCGCTGTATACAAAAAAAAAAATAAATATATATATATATATATATATATATATATATATATATACAAAAAAATATTATTATTTATTTAAGCCGCGAAAACAAATTGTGATGTTCATGGACCTAGTGCAGTGTCTGCGAGAGTAGCACAAATTTGGTTTAAACGTTTTCAATTCGGAAATTTTGATGTCAAAGATGTTGCCTCGCTCTGATAAAATGGATGCCATTTTTGAAAAAGTAGGGCAAGATCGGCATATCGGTAGTTACGATCTAGCTGAAGAACTGAGAATTGACCAAAAAACTATTTTAGACCAAATGAATCGAACCATATTTGAAAAACCTTATAACTAACTTGTGATAAACAGTGGATCACATACGACAAGAACGTGCGAAAAAGGTCGTGGTAAAAGGCTGGTCAGGCTTCACAGACTCTGGCAAAACCCGGGTTATCTCAACAAGGTAATGCTGTGTGTATGGTGGAATTCATTATGAGCTGTTACCGCCAGGCAGGACCATCGATTCTGAACTCTACTGCGAACAACTGATGAGATTAAAGCAAGAAGTTGAGAGAAAGCGGCCCAAATTAATCAACAGAAGGGGTGTGGTTTATCATCATGATAACGCTAGACCTCAGACATCTTTAGCCACTCAGCAAAAAATAAGAGAGTTTGGTTGGGAGGTATTAATACATCCGCCGTATAGTCCTGACCTTGCACCTTTAGATTTCCACTTGTTTCGGTCTCTTCAGAATTCTTTAGGTAGTGTCAGGTTAACATCACGAGAGGACTGCCAAAACCACTGGTCGCAGTTTTTTGATCAGAAGCCCCAGAATTTCTATAGCAATGGGATCACTTCCCTACCTACAAGATGACAGAAAGTTATCGAACAAAATGGCTCCTACATACTTTAGTTAAATGTAAATAAAGTTTATTAAAAAATGTTTTGAATTTTCGTATAAAATGCAAACAAACTTTTTCCTCAACCTATTATGTCGGAGATAGGTGGAAAAGACAGGACAACTCGTTATCAGATCCCTCATCGGACATGTACTCGCAAAATAAAAGTTATCACCTAGCCCTGTAGTTTACTTGTTCGATTAAAATAAACAATAACGAAAATAACCATAACATATTAACCACGCCGATGCAACTTGTTTTGAATTTTAAGACCCGAGTCTTCATTCATATGGTCCTTCCAGCCGGATTTACGGACAACAGCGTCCTGCTGAATTAGATTTGTTAAGAAACTATCTGACTGAGAAGATACAGTATCGATTGCCAATACTGCGTGGGCTACGCCTCGCCAGAAGAAGAGGCTCAGAACAGTACCGCTAGCCATCTAAATTATTTCAAACCTAGGTTTTCACCTGTCTAATACTAGTGCTTATTACTATTTCCAGTTTTACGCGCATCGAGTCTCATTTGTGTAAGTGATTATCAGCTGAGTGTCGTTGCTAGCACCGGCTGCATTCGCAGATCATCGCAAACGTGTTTATTCCTACCTGTATATTTTGCATTGGTTACCAAAATGGCCACTAATAGTTTAAGCAAGGAACGGTCAAATTCCTCTTGCCAATGGAGAATAGAAAGTGATGATTCCTCTTTAGATCAGTCTGTTCTTTTATGCAATTTAAATAAAAAATGAGGCAGAGCCTTTTTATTGAATTTAAGAATCTTCAAACTAAAATCGAATAATTAGTATCATAATTCGATTTGGAGATACAGTTGTCCAAGCGCGAATTATTTGAAGATTGTTATTATAGCGCATTAGCTCAAGCTGAGTGTTTATTAGATAAAGGTAAAAGTGCTGAGAGTTCTAAGTGTAACGATATTCACAAAGCGGTTAAGTTACCAACAATTAACGGTGGTAGGACCACAGTATGCGCTATTACACGAATGGGCAGGTCCTTCCGGGTTAGTACCACGACCTCACAGAACACCGGCGTAAAGAAGAAGTGTTATACTTCTGCGTTTCGTCTGGTGAGTGAGGTAACCGGTAGCCAATATTATTACGGTGGCAACACATCTGCAACCAGTGTTGCAAATGTCCGCGGGCGGCGGTTATCACTTAACATCAGGTGAACCGCCAGCTCGTTTGCCACTTTCTCACATTAAAAGAAAATCTATGGCTACTAATAATCAAACTCCACTTAACAAAGTTCGTCGACAGATTGAATGAGGAAGAAACGGTAACACTGCTGTGGATTGAAAGAGAACTGAAACAACGCCGACGGGGCGCTGTGTTTTTGTGGTCGCGTTCGAGAGAGAGAGACAAAGTTAAAAAGACCTTTGTGTTCAGAAATAATACCAACTCATTTGAATCTTCGTATAATTTGAATAGAAGTCGTTAACATCTTTCTAAGCATTTTTTATTCAACACCTGATTATACTCCCGAACACCTATTTTTACTGCATACAGCGCCTTAACGGATTATATTTTACGTTTCATAGTAACGTTACAGACATTTGACGTCAAAAAGTTATTGTAGGGAATTAGTGTTGTTTGAATATGCTTGCTACTTAGAACTGGTCATTTATCATCACCAACCGGAAGACTGTTGAACTGTTGACTTTCTATGTTTTTAAGTAATTGTGGGAAAGTAAGTAAAAATTGTTAAATCAAAAACGTTTAACCGAAATAATATTGTTTCTTAGTAATATTCCTCCCAGAAATCGCCGCCCGACGCTAGTATATCGTAAATCATAATTTTTATATTCATTTTCAATATATCGATATTTTTTGACACTGCCGACATCCCTAGCGAGGACATATTTCTTTCAAAAGATTTGATGTGCGGGAATCCCACGGTCCTTATGTTTATATGAAAAAGTTATACCGAATTTGCACAGTCCTTTATCTAATAAACTACAAATTTTTACAAACTGTTTATTTAGTAAATATATGTGTTTTGTGAATTTTCATATTTTTAATGAAGTTTCACTTCTATCACTTACGCAAAATTCTTTAAGATATGAAGTAGTTTTAGTGTGTTATAATATTACTTCAGTATAGTTTATAGCTACTCACTTTCTAGAACGTGTTGTTATTTAGTTCCACTTTTTTATATTATATACTGAAACTGATATCACTAAGCACCGTTTTTCCGGTGTTTACCGGCGTTCCCACTACAACGTATCCCGATATAACAAAAGATATATTTAATATCTTCGTATTCCGTATTGAGAATATATAATATTATTTTATACTTTAGTGTTTTAAACTTAAGTTTTTTTGTTTTTTTTTTTGTACAGAGATCGGCACACAGGCAAAAAGCGGCATAGTGGGAGCTCGTTTGAGCCACAGAGTACTTTGGTATATTGGTTTGAGCATTGCGGATGAACATTTTCGAGCAACCAATCGCCTTGACTTCTGCGGGCAATATCATCTGGCGCCCGTCTTCGTTCTCGTTTCTAGGGATGCGCAAGTAAAAAAATATATCGATATTTATCGTATCGACATTTTTAAACAGTATCAAGTGAAAAATATCGTCAGTTTTGGTATGATTTTTCATACATATTTCCCAAACCATTCAAAATTCGTAAAAAGAATAGACATGAAAAAGAAATAGTCGATTTGTTGAAAAAAAAATCCAAAAATTGTTAAATGTCTT